CTTGCTTTTACTTCATTGTGCTCGTTTCCATCGGATAAAACCAACCAGTAAATACCAGCCCTGTTTTATTAGCTGCAATCGATCGCTTAATACTACAAATATCAGGGTCTGTTTTTCTGATATTTCTCTCGAGTATACTCTTGTTATAGCTGAAAAATAATGTTTAAAGTACAATCTATTATTTGAAGCATGTCAACGTAGGATAAATATTCTATTCCGAGAACAAGCAGAAATATTCTTGTTTCCCGTTAAAGCTGGAAATTTGAGCCGATTCATCGAGAGATTAAATAAAATTAAATATAAATTTAAGCTAAAATGACTAATATTCCTATAATAATACACTGACGATCATGTTCAAGCATATAATTCTGTTATATTATATGTCGTGTTAAATTTCTATGGAATGAGAACTAACAATTAACTAAAAATGTTAATTAATTGAAATATTTCTTTTATGGGAAGAGAAGAGAATTAGATTTCTAGTTGCATTAATTTCATCGATGTTAATCGTCGAACGTGCAACGAATTCGTCTGTTTGAAAGTTAAAAAAGAAGAAGGTGATTTCACAAAGTGGCGACGCTATTTCAATTCTCGTGACAATGAAGTTCCTTCGGTTGTTAGATTTATGTCATTCCACGTTATGGCATCCTCTACGGTACAACATTATTCCAAAACCATGTTTAATAGGCCTTTTAGCTAATCACCTTCCATTAACTACCATGTTGATAATTACGTTATCCTCATTGATTTAAAGACAGGATGGGCATGACACTATATGGGATTTCGTGTCTCACGTTCTAAAATACCGACCCCGAAAAAAGTTAGTATTTCCAACGTCATCTGCGATTTATTACGACAAACATACATGGGAATTATATTTAACTGAATTGTCGAAAGCAACAAAAATAATAGAATATCTGTGCACGAGTTTTATATGACTCGCGTCACGTAACTTTTCTTCTGAAAATATGTTACAATCGCGCGGAGTGTATGCTATTTATTTATAAAATGTCATTTTCAGAAAGAATTATTTTTAGATATACGATGTACAATTTAATATTTACATAGAATATTCTTTTCGGATATTTCATCATATTTTCTAAAGTTATCTGTCTCGTTCGATAACAAGTATAGTTGAACATCGAAGAACCATAATATCTTTCGACTTGAATGATCCAATGTTTGGTGTCCTTAAGATGACGCGAGAGAATTTAATCGAAAAGCCAACTAAAAATGTTTCTATTAAAAGAAGGCAACTAAAAACACTAGGAGACTTCTTTTTTTATTTATTTGGATGAATTTTGCAATCAATTCTCATTGAGAATTATACGTAAATTTTTCTCGCATTGTACTATGTCGTGTTTAATAAGCGATTATCGTATGTTTGATTGTAGTTGAATCTAGTGTTTAAATCTAAAGGGTAATGTCTACTAAGAGACTTGACACTGGAAACACTTTCCCTTCTTCACTTTAATTATATTTTTTATAGCTTAAGAACAATTTGTTATAATTCCATACGAAAGTCAAATAAACACCAATTTTTTTTCGAGTTAAAAAAATTTTTTTTTTATTATTTAATTTGTAATTTACAATTTTGCTCAGCTGGACATTTGGTCGATTTTTCTAACTTAATTGCTAAATAAAATGCGGGTGGCTACCCCCAACGGGATACCATCTTTGAGTTTGACTATTTTATTTCTTTAGCAAGGTCAATGGGGTGTTTTCTTTTTTCTATGAGAGTTTTGCTCGCTTCAGCAGCCAGCTGGTTTGGATGTGTTGCCGTTCTTTCCTTGTATTTTTCTGCCTACCTGCCGAAGAGTCAGAAATTTGGGAATAATTATAGTTTATGTTATGGTCAATAATTATAATTGGGAATATAATCGTCGCAGAAGAGAATAATAACTTCTATGCTTTCCACTGAACTTTCTACCGTCAGTTTGTCAAATAATTAAAAATTTCGTTATCGAAAATTTCTTCTCCAAGATTGATCGATCCTACAAACGGAAGAATGTGCTTGGCAAGCACGAGGTAGGCTTCCGACCACGAACATCGATATATGGTGCGAGAAATTCGCAGTGCGACTTTCCAAGGTCAGGTGCTTTGGAAGCCAAAAATCAGCCGCGACACATTTTTTGTGGCCAAAAAGCTTCACTCGTTCGCCGATGCAGTTACGTCACGTTGCAGCGAAAAACTTTGCACGATCAATAGTGAACACTCTTTGCTTTGTGCAAGACATGTTATTGTAAATTACAATTGGAGTGTGGAAAGGCTTGGCGAGATGCGAGGACGAATTTTGGAAAGTTTTAAATTCCTCTCTCCCACCCCCACCCCCACCCCCACATTTATTTACTGTTTTAATATTGAACTATTTTTAATATTTATTTATAGAAGTATTTGTTCTACTTCTGTTCAACACAAAGTACAGTATAAATTATATAAAAATGATATTCTTTTTAGGTATTTGTTTTACTTGTGTTTAATATAAAATATACATTTTTATGAAATGAACCTCTTGGAAAATGATACTCTGTTTAGATATTTATTTCCCTTGTGGTTAATATAAAATATGCATTTTTATGAAATGCAAAAATGATACTCTTTGCCTAACATATCCGTTAAGTAGTTAGTTCATTCTTTTATTAACAAAAATGGTATTCTTTTCTATCAATTCTCTTGAGTACATTCATGGTGATAGTGTCAATTATATTTTGCTTTTGGTGGTAGATCAATCTGCTGATGTTTATGTTTAATGGAATTATCGGTACTTTATTATTTGAAGCAATTAGAAGATCAAATGAATTTGGATGCAGAGATGATAATTAATAGCGAGGGATTCGTGTTAAATATATAATTTCTGGAGTATTGTAGGATAGTAAAATTTCATTTATGCGAAAATGTCAAGGAGCAAGCAATTTATATAATTGGAGTAGAATTCACAATAGTAGAATTTGCAGAAATTTGAAGATCCTTCTTTCCACCAAGTATTCTCTAGGATATAATAAATATATGGTAAATTCTAAAATTGCTGAAGCTTCATCTATCATTATTTAAGCTAAAATTTATTCACATTGAATCTTTATGACGTCGAGTTGCATTTAAAATGAAATTTCCTACATTCAAATCTTCAAATACCAACAGATTCGTCAGTTCAATTTCTGAATGAAAAGACAAAGAAAGCTGTCGTAGAACTTCCAGAGATAAAAGAACATGGTATTCCTCTGTTCGTTTGCCAAGTAGAAAGACTGCTGAAGCTATGACAGAAGTTTCAAAGGATAAAAGAAAGCGGAGAAAAATATGAAAAGAAAAGAGGAACACGACAAGACAAGGAGCCATCAAATATTCATTTATTTCTGGTAACAACTATGTACATACACACATATACATACACATAGGCGTATTTAACATGTACGTAAATGCAGAAAATGGTCCGTACTCGAGTATGTTTTGAATAAAACTATCCGTGTCGTTCAGCAAACTACGAGACACTATATTTTCCTCTTTCAAACACGGCCAACTTCGAATGAAACAATCGTACACGCTCGAATCTGAAAACACGTGATCGGTAAAAATTACTTGCAAAAGTTCTTCGATCTTCCCCATCTTTCCAATCCACTCACTTATCGTAAATCTTCTTCAGTTTTATGAAAAATCGAAGAACTATGGTTCTGGTACTTTTGCGTTATGCTGTTAATTTTAAAACGTTTCTGCGATTAGGCCATTTTATTGGTAACGATTCTAGAGTTTTCACCCAGAGTTCTAAGGCCCCTATCTGCCACGTGTTTTATTTCCAAAGGAAAGCCCAACATGATGCTTTAATCACTTCACAGTACCTGGCTATCGAATTAGAACTACGTACGCAAATTATTCCACTCGTCAAACGATATATCGTATCGTATGCACACTGTGCAGGATAAATAAACAGATTATTTTTGATTGTCCAAATAATTATTACTAAATACGTGGACGATTCTGTATACATAACAATTGAACAACTTCCTAAAGAAAACATCTATAAACATATGCAAATGGTACTCTACGTAGAAGATTTATTAAGAATTGTAATTATTAATTCAAACGTAGATAATATTCAAATTTTAGGATTAAAATTCTGCCACGATTTATTCAATTTATCATATTGTGTAATAAAAGTTATATATATATATATATATAGCTTTTTGCAGAAAGCCTGTCAACTATTTAATTTATTTAATTTATTACTAACAAGTAAAAAATATTCAAATCTCGCAAGGGATTCTAATTCGATAGACACAGGGGACTGCAGTTTATTATGCAGGAAATAAAAATCTGGTTAAAATGTTTCTATATAAAATGCAGACTGGGAATTTAAAAATTATGGTTGTGAGATGTTTGTTTCGGTTCGTTTTAAGAAATAGCACCATGATCGTTTCGAATTGACCTACGTCTGAAAATACTTGTTAATGTTCCCGGATAAATTGTTCAAAATACAACTCTCTGGATGATAGATTAAAAGACGACGTTTGTAAAAATAATTTGTTATTCGCGAACCATATAGGAATTACATCTATGGCTCGTCCCGTAGATTTCAAAGACTTTCATCCGTGACCCTTACTCCTATTGTTTCTTTTTTTCATTTCTTGTTCTTTTTTTTTTTCGAAATTCGTAGATATGGTACAAAGTATGCGCGTCTACTTACTCATAGTAAGTACAAATATACAGGTGTTTGCTTTTGCGTATTGCGGTCAAATCGAGTGAATTATTGAAACGGAAGACGACACTATTTCACAAAAGAAACAAAATCATAATTAACTTTGCTGCAATATTTTATATAGATACACAATCTTTAATAGATAATACACAATAGATAATTAATCTTTATAGAATTATCTTCTAAATTAATTTCGACAGTAACATTAAAAATTGAAAGATCTACTACTTCTTGAAAAGAAATTCTACATCTTTCGATAAGAAATTAAATATAAATTTCATAGAAAAATTTTATCAAACGAAATCTCATAAAAAATACTTCTATAAAAAAAAATTCTATTTCTTCAAACATTCTTCTTTTTTTTTTTGTTACATATTTGCCACTCGATTCCCTGATAAACTTACACGCACGAATCTGAGATTGTGGGCGGAAATAGGAATAAAAGTATCCAAAAGATTCTTTTTAAAAATTCAACGGTACGACACGTAATTGTTTCCATACGTTTGCCAATGTTCCAACATTTGGTATCAAAAGATATGGAGTATGCTTTCGATGAGTACAGCTAATCTTCGAATTCGTGCGTTTGGCACGGCTTCCAATTGAGTTTTCGAAGTAAACTGAAAAACATACACGCAATTAATAAAAAATAAATCAAAGACAAACGTTATTCGACCTATGCTTCTTTCTATGATTTGCAAAATTCATGCTATTCTCTTATTTTATGAAATTTTTGTACATTTTAAATATCATAGCCAGAGATAATTCGAAAATAGAATAGTAAACCGTCCTTATTCTTACTTCTTTGCAGACTGTATGAATCCTGCAGGCCCGCACGTATAGACGAATGCATTATTTTTACCTGTTCCAATTAGTTCCTCTAATAAATAATCAGATAACGAGCCGCGTCTGCCTTTCCAGGTGTCTGCGGCTTGTGAAAGGATATGTGTAACTTTTAATCTGCAACGTACAGATGTCCCATTTGAAGAGAATGAAAAGACAAATCCAAAATAATCTACTCACCTGCCGTCTGTGCTAGCCTTTTCCAGTTCCTTCGCGTAAAACATGTTATCTTCGTCCTTGTTGAAGTTGAGTAAGTTTATGCTTCTTCTGCAGCATTTCATAAATTATTAAATTAAAAACATGCGCAAGGATTATATATCTATACATTATTACATCTCATCTATTAACTGGAAAGCTTAGTCACACTCGATTAAACTATCGATATTCGATAAGAATTGCATAGGAAGTAACGTTATCAAAATTCAGGAAGCCAAATATCAACATTTAGACTTTCTTTCACAAATGGTTTACTAAACCTACTTTCGTATTATAATAATATCCTTTTGCATATTTTCTGCACTCTTGGAATCTTATTATACTATGTTTTAGATCCTAAACCACTGAAACGTACGGTTGGTACAATAAATAACGCTATTGCTACCAATAAGCTTCTCCTAACTAAAATTCAACTAAAAGTAAAAAAGCAATTCGGTATTACTTTGAACGAAATGGCCATTTCATAGTCGCAAAATCTCTAAAACGTGGCAAATTCGCAAGAAATATTATCATGCCTTGTTATGCAACATGTCTTCAGAAAGTACGTTTGGGAAACTAGATTTTCAGAAGCCCTGTAGATAAAAAGATACTGACACACAGGTTCTGGCCAAAGCTTGCTGTATGATGCCAAGTAACACTGTCAAACCGGTGCCACCAGCGATCAAATGATACATAGTATAGATATCATAGGGTTCTGTCATGAAGTCACCTAAAGCATTGCTCACAAGAAAGGTCTGACCAATCTGAAGAGCGGTTATGGACGGACTCAAAGCGCCACTCGGGTATTTCTTGATCATGAAACACAGGCAATCAGACTTGTAGTTTGGCGCCATATCGTCCGGATGAAGGCACGGTGGGACAGGCGTGTACAATCGCGATACTTCCGTCCCTAAAACGAAATATCTCATAGTTTCTTGCGTACTTTCCTCGAGGACTTTTTATCTATCATGCAAAGATGGAATTGGCTAAATCTTTACTATAGTTTGTTAAATATTGTATAACGTAGACGACACAGAATTAATAGATTAGCGAGTAAAATCGATAGTTATTTCATCGATCGATGCACTGTTACAACAAATATGATTGTACGAACCAATATAAAAATGAAAGAATGTTGCAAGATTCTATTTTGATAAAACATTTACATTTCGATAAGGTAAGTTGGCTACGAAAATAGTTACTGCGAAGAATGACGCGAATAACTAATTTTATAGCAATTTTCAAGTTACTTGAAGGGTAAAGCAATCTCTTCGATGAAAATACTTTGAACGTCTTTGATATTAATAATATAGAAACTATTACAGTATTACAGTTCAGATAAATAGAAGAAGAATGATTTAAAGATATTCGTTTCGATTGTGGCTGTTCTGTAGCTGTTATGAGAATTACCGTGCCATTTTAATTACGTTTCTAAATTCACTTAATTAGTCGATCAATGAATTAGGGATTTTAAATAGCGAAAAGGAAAAGGATGATATTCACCCATGACGTTCATTTTGACTTCTACGTGCCTGCCAATAGGTATAATTTGCAAGAAGTCTTTTGCTCGCACGACTAACAGATGAACTAACTTAGAAAGCAGTATGTTCGCAAGTACTTCGTATTCTGTGTACATTCGATTATCCATATTCGTCTCCCTCAATACCGTTTGAGTACCGTAAGATTTCCATAACTCTACCTTCCGCTTCGTAAACGTAAAAGTCATCTACATAACGCAAAAAGTAGAAATCAATATCTGAAATTTTTCATTAATTAAACAACAGCTTTTCAGTTACATTACCTCCCTCATTTCCAAATCTCTGAAGCAGACCGGTGGCCATTCTACTTCTCCTGTTAATTCCAACTCCTGTATTACTACGTTGCTCCCGAAACATAATTTGTATGCCAGTTTCGAATCGTTTATCCTTGTTAATTGATAGCACATGTTTGGATAATTGCGCGGCGTTGGATAAAACAATATGAACGTGATGGGTGTTTGCCTCCACTCCATTTTTATATTCAATAAATTAGCGTCTGATACGTTTTCTTGGTTCACACTATGAGCTGAAAATCAATACGTTCTAATTATTCTCTTGTTGTGTATTTCTTGTCGATCAATCAAACACGGCTACTCTTCTTCCAACATCCCTTCCATAATAACAGTTTCTATTTATTCTCTTCTTCTTTCAAAACCTTCCTTCGCACTATTTCCTACGATAATTTATTAACAATTCGTTCGCTACACAATTCATCATTTGTCTATATATAAATGTCGACATTAAAAAAGACTTTAGCACTTCCTCAATTTGTCGAAGCGTGTATTGAAAACGAGATCTCAATTTTAATTTTAAGACGAGAATCTTTAACCATCAAAGAGCGAACACTTGGTCCATTTTCTAGTATAAGACAAAATATATAATGGAGCGTGTTATGTAAAATTGTCCAATGTAACTAAACCACATGATCTACATTTAAAGAGTTAACGTTCGCTATAAACTCACCAGTAATCCAAACATTCCAATAAAATATAGCCTTTCGTAACCGAACATTCACTCCAAATATATACCCCAATATATAAGCAATCTGAAGATTGCTAAGAACTCGCTCGGGTCTTCTCTCACAGAAAGAGACAAGTATAATAAGTATAAATATAATATTTACATACGATGAACGTTCGCGTCTGTTTAAAAATCATTTACAACAATTTAGTTTCAAACTAACAATATACAGTATGATAAACGTAACTAACAATAAATACAGATAAACATGTATTATCAAGATCTTATCCTTATTATTATTATTATTATCCTTAATCTTGTTATTATCCTTGAATAACTAAACAAACTTGTGTTTCTATATCGACCAAATGATTTTAATAATAAATTTTTTATATTAAATAATCACAAATTTCCATCATTTCTACTTATCTCTCAACCATAATATAATAATCCACCCTTGAGAATTGAATAAACATTCCAACAAAGATAAATACTTTTATAGAGTATACCAAAACCTTGATATCTTTCTCTTAACACAGACCCGCAAGTCTCTTCATCTAGGTGCTTACATCCTTTCCAACAGCTCACAAACATAGTTTGCATTCAACTACTTTAACGTTTCAATTTCTCTATAAACGGCATGAAGCCACTTTAAAAGCCATATCTACATATATATATATATATATATTTATTTTATATACATATATTTTTGTTTTCTTTGCATTCACAATTTTCCATGAAAAGAGCCATCAAGGTTTGCCTGACGCTCGTTCCTTGTTTCGCCATCGGCGAGACACAAGCGGGCAGGATCGATGTCGCGTTAGTTACTCACTTGTGCAACTTGTTATCAGGTTCAACGTCGCCGACGAACAATTGCTCGTACTCGAGGCAGCATTTTCCGTCGGCGACGACGCGGTGGTACCGCTCACCGAGCCACGGCTCAGCCTTCCGACCACGCATTTCTGAAGGATGCTCTGATAGTTGACCCAAGCGTGCACCTGCAACGAACGATCTATGGGTACGTAAAAATAATCGTCGATCAACGATAGATCGTACCGTTGATCCGATGGATAGTCGGATATCGTTGCACTTACGTTTTCGAAAAGTTTCGTGGCATCTTTTCCAACGCCTCTCATTAATTCGTTGACTCCTCCTGGATGGAAGTCCATGTAACGTGTCACGTTGAAAACGATCCCTGCGGAGTTAATTAAGAGAGCTTGTTTTATTATCGAGTTGCTATTAATTATTTGTTATTTCAGTGATATTATCATGTGGATTGGCAACTAAGTGATTGCGGAATTTACAGTCAGTTGTCGATCAGTTATCAACCAGTTATCAACGAATTATCGGCAATCTAATTAACGAATCGTTAGCTGTCTTAGCGAATCGGTTAGTACGAGCGTGTTTACGAACATTATCTGTATACTGATTTATCATTTTAAATATATTCGACAGTTTCAATAACGAACGATTTCGTCCATTAAACCTCACCGATCAACCATCCTCTACAGATAAACCTCTACAAATTTGTCATTACCATTTCATGAGAAAATCCGCAATCATTTAGTTGCCGATTCTGTGTTCAACTTGCTTTTCGTTATTAGCTATTTTAATTTTTCGATACTAACCATTGCGTAAATTGTTAAATTTTTTTTGAAAGTGTACGTTCTTAGTTTAAGAAAGTTTAAGTTCTTTTGAATGTTTAGCGTTTACGTTGCGGTAGCTTTGTCTTTTTTTTTTTTTTTTTTTTTCTCTTTTTTTTTTTTTTTTTTTTTTTTAATTATGCTTGGTAATTTGAAATGGCAGGAAATTAAGAAGAGAGAGAGAGAGAGAATATGTATTTTGTTTGCTAGATCGTAGCGAGGACGCGTTTCACGGTGACATCGCGGATGGTGTAGTTTCATCTATTTTTTATTTTTTTATTGCGTTAACTCACAGTGGCTACGGAAGGTATTGGCATATTGACGCTGTGTTTTTTATGGCATTTACAGAGTAATTAATTGAGTTCAAATATATTAAATTTAGTATCGTTTAGTAGCACTTTCGTATAATTACAAAAATCTGGTACTATAGGGCTAAAAAATAATCAAAGCTAAAAAATAGAATATTTATTGAAGTATAAAGCTACTTGCAAGTAATTTTTATAATTACTGTATCTAAAAATATATATAAAATATATAAAATTTCGTATCGTTCAAAATAGCATTTTCGTACGATTACAAAAAATTGATGCTATAAAAATACAAAACATAGAGGTTTCAAGTTGATTAACGAGGACACAGAGTGTAAGAATCCCACGTTATGTAAACTTTAAGTCATTTTGCTTTTACTTTAAAATACACAACTCTCTCATTGTCATTCACGTTCCTTTCTCTAATTCAAACTAACTATTGCTGCATAAAAATAACTGCAATGTAACATTTGTAGTCCGCGATCAATTTTTCACAGTTGTCACGTTCGACGTTTATTTTCTTCGGACGTTTGAAACATAAATTTGTTTAATAAATCATCGATCCAATAAGTCAATGACAAAGAACAATACGAAAATTTCTTGAATGTCGAACTAAAGTGAAACTTCAAATACAAGTAAAATAACATCATTTTAATAAAAAGCAATATAAAACAGAAATTCAACAATGTTGATGTTTTCCCCAACCATAATTATCGATCGCCTGTTTCTTTCATTACTATTCGATCATGCTACTTAATATTTGGATTATTTCTTCGTACTTCCTCTATTCCCTAGAAATTGCCTGACTCATGCCTCATCTAATATGCGAGATCATGATGGCAAAAAATATACCGGCGAACATAGGTAGAATTAAAATAGGATTTGTGACGGGTATAGAATAAATATTGCACGATTGGATGTCGTACGATGGTGGGGAAAAAGTAAATTTTAATCAAACTAAAAGCGTTCGACGTTGACCTATATTATTCCTTGCCTCTCGTGACTGTCGCTTATTTTCTTGTTTCCAAAGAAGGCGTTTTTCTACCAACCAATTAATCTACACGGCGATTATGGAATAAAGACAAATGTCGGAATATTTTAGGAACATGTTGTAATAAAATTAATAAAAATTTCATATTCTTAACGGCAAGAGAAGATATTTTTTATTTGTTTGAAAAAAAAAGGGATTAAAAAATATATTGTGACTGTGGTATTGAAATCGTCAAATATACGTTGCCAACCGTACATTATGATATTTATAAAGTTATTTGTTATTTATAATATCAAAATTGTATGTACATATATACATATATAATTGTTTTAGGAATTTAGGAAATGAATCAATTTCATGATTTAATAATGTTTTGTAAAATGAAGATTTGTAGGAGATTTAGAGATGTAAATGTAAATAACTTGGCAAGTCAAGCAATTTTCTACCAATGTTCTATATATTCTGGTTTATATTCTCAAAAATATAAATTTGCATGAAACTTTGCAGCCCAGTTATTCATATCATATAATAGCAATTGTAAAGAAAGTTATTTGACGAAAATGTTGGGCTTTAGAAGATTCACAACGAAAAAAACTAAAGTGTCCAAACGTTATTTTTTTATACATAAATTGGCAATATTTTCATGAAATGTAATGAAAGGAAATACAGTCGGTGTGGAAAATATTCAGACACTAACGTAACTTTGACTTTTCGATATTTTTTCACGTTAATTTATAGATTGTCCGAATGAGAAATATTTTCTTCTGCTTTCTCACAACTATACGCGAGACTTCAATACACTTTCATGAAGATATTTTTATTGTTTTATCTGCATTCATTTCAGACACAAGTCAAACTTATGCTAGCGTATCGAATATTTTCAAGACCGACTGTACGTAGTAGCAGAAAAGAAACTCGACTGAATTAAAACTCGACTTAAAATAGTCTAAGTCTAAGGGAAGATTGTCCTATAGCAGCGACAAAGACGAATGATTTTTATGAATTTTTTTACGCTAACTAGCAATTACAGTAGAAACTGAAAGTTAAATGGCACATTGCCTTGCAAATGTAATTTTTTTCATTTCAATTCCTCTTATCGTCTATCAACTTCTTAATCTGACACGTTCAATAAGCTTTTAAACTGGCGTGTACGATAACTGAAAAGGCTGATTGATTGATTGATCAATCAAATTTCTCCTGGGATTGAACCATAAATATTTATTTGTAATATTCTTTTAAGCGATAGAAACTAAACTGGTCCGCCAAGAAGAGCAAGTTTCTCTTCTAAACGCTAGAACTTTTCCAATTGTTCATATTCTTCTTGCAAAAATAGGTCGAAACAGAAATATCTAACTTTAAGGAGCTGCATTCTGGTGACTGTGACGGATGTTGCACTGCACGCCAACAACTGATATATTGTCAAAGATAATCCACAGCACTCGCGCAATATACAATAAACAGTAAGAAGAACTGAGACACGAGAATTACATTTGTACTTCAAGACTATCTGTTTTCATCCCAACAAGGTCTAATTGCATATAGATAATTGGTAGTCGGTCTTAAAGAAAAAAAAAATTAATTCGTTAAAATCACACGCTTTTATCGATGTTAGACGAGAGTCTCTCCTTAATATCACGTTGGCCCGGATTCTCTTACTTTACGTAACATCTAGCACTTAGTTTCCCAGGCAAAGACATCCTCGGCGACTCTGTCATTACGAACGCTCTTAAAGCCAATTTCCAGAGGAAGTGGCGTCGAAAGCGATATCGCATCGCCTTTAAAATGCGATCACGTTTCTGCGGCCATTGATTTTCATTTCTTCGATTTAATCCCAATGAAACTGTGTACGTCCGAGGCAACGACTCTTGCTCGTGGAAATGGGATTAACGAGCAATCACATTAACGGAGAGTAGATTCTGCTGTTTAATGAACGAACCGTTGGTTGTGAGCGAACGAGAAAATTTGAAAATTGCATGAGAATTTAGCTGTTTCGAGGATTATAATTTGGAGAACCAAGGGATTTTTACTTCGAAGGCTATAGATTTCCAGGACTTTGAATTTAGATCGTTAAAAGGCTGTGGATGTGAGAAACGGGGAATTGAAATATTTCGAAAATTATAGATTCTAGGAATTTAAATTCAAATTCAATTACAATTTAAATTTAAACTCAATTACAGTCAGAAATTAAACAGTCGAATACGTACATTTAATATTTAAATACTCGGACAGTGTGATTAAAGGGAAGACGAAATTGAAAAATTGAAATAGAAATTCTGATATTTTACGGGAGGCGAATTTTTTTAGGAGCATGTTTTAAAAAAAAAAACCTACCTCGAATCGCGATCCAAGCGTCGTTTTGCTTATTGTGAGTGGCCAGTTCGGACAAAGTTACGACACGTGGAACTCCACCAACGCCGGTTAAATCGACGCCGGAGTTTCCCAATCGAATCCAGTCCATCAAACTGTGGCCAGGTGCTAAGGCTGTTTTATTTCGAGGATTGCCTGGAAAAATTCAGAAAAACAAACGCTTGTTTGCTTACGCGTTTAAACACATGCATCGAAATAGTCGAGAGAATGAAGAAGAAGAAGAGGAGGAGGAAGAAATATATTTTTAAGAACTACATTTTTATGGTGTGCGTGACGTTGCCGAAATATTCAGCTGTATTTTTAGTATCTATTGATTTTTGAAAATCTAAGAATCACAATGCTTATATGTATTTCTCGTGTTTTCTTTTCAAATGGGACTCACACAAGTACAAATACATACGTATTTTTTTAGAAACTTGAAATGTATAAAAAGCTGAAACCTACATTTATTTTCTGTATTTTTTTTAGGAACTACAAAATGCATCTGTGTGTTTTGTTACTTTTTCTTTTTTTTTTTTTTTACTTTTTGGAAACTACAATACTTTCGCATGTGTGTGTGTGTGTGTATATATATGTCTTTTTTTACTTTTTGGAGATCGCAATGCTTCTCTCGACTTTTCGTTTCTTTTTTTCCCGAAATTTGGAAATTGAAAAGTTATAATAGGCACTTCTAACATTTCTTGGAAATTTCAAAATTACAACGTGTATGTTAGTAAGAAATGCATTATAATACGGTACACGACATTATACCATACAGAAAATAGATTTTAGGTGAAAAGGATTTGTTAGTATGTGTGTAACATAGCGAATAAAAATTCGTCCAACAGTGAACGTGTTAAATACGAAGACAATATATCGATATGATTCTGCATTACAAAATCTATTTTTCTTTACGATACAATACCAATTGAAACACAAATTAAATAATACAACGATAATGGAAAATAAAAAGTAACGGCCACTGTAGTACACCAGTAAAGTTCGTTCGATCCTAATAATCAGTCACTCATTTCCCACAACACGTGTATATATTTTGTCCATATATTTTTGTATTTTTTTTTTTTTTTTTTGGGTAAAAAATATGCAACAAATTTCTTCGTATCTTTCGACATTTTATTACAAAGAGGTCACGAACTATCCTTGCTACTCGTGGAAAAGACACAATAAATCCAGTAATATCCATAAAACTGCACGACTCATTAGTCGTTGACTAATTAAAATTGATTAGTTAATTGATTAGTTAATTAGTTAGTTGATTGATTAGTTAACAAACACTGTCTGTTTCCATGCAGTTAAATTACACGTAACATAAAATAATAAATAAAATTACCACGGTTCAAACAAATAAACCTAATAAAACGGATATCAGCAGACGATCAGGTTCATGATATAACAGAAAATCCAGTTATTTCTCATTCAACCAAAATACATAAACTCAACCCTCTGTAAATTCACATGGAAACACCCATCCCCACTCGTTGCACAGGAGACACGATAAGTACGCAAACGTTCGCAGAAACGGGACGCAAGTAGAACTAATAGACAATTATCGTTAATTACTGACCGTCCTGAATCTGCAAACCGAGACTTTGCGGAGACCCCTCGCCGCCCATGACGGATACCAAAGACGCGCCGCAGCATCGTGGCATTTTCTCATCGAAACGTCACAGTCCGCAAACCTTTAACCATCCTCCTGCATAGAAATTGCATTGCATTGAAAAAGCAGCAACCCTCGACGAGCGAAATGTTTCGAACACGAGAAACAAAGATAAAAAGATTGGCGATGAAATTTCCGCTTGTTTAAAAGAGATTTATTTCGTGAATTAGGGTTGTTCGTGAATTATGTAGGTTATAGAGGGATTTCTTGTACGATGATAGAAGGTCCCGGAAATTTCATTCTGTTTGCAATAAAATGTTGGAAAATAAAATTCGTACGATACGATGGAATTATTAAGATATTATACGATTGTGTGTATATACAGGGTGGTTGGTAACTGGTGATTCTACGCGAAAAAAGAAGTCGAAAATATTGAATAAAAATTTTTTTTTTAATTTTTCCATCGAGACAACGATCTGACGCGTACCGAGCGAAAATTCAAAGTCGATTTTCTCGAAAACAAAGCTTCAAACGAAAAATTTTTATTCTATATTTTCGACTTCTTTTTTCGCGTAGAATCACCCCCTTTCCGCGTGTACCACCAGTTACCAATCACCCTGTATACAGGATGTCCTGTAACTGGTGGCACAACTCTGTACAGAGTGATTCTACGTGAAAAAATAAGTGGAAAACGTGGAATAAGATTGGTTCGTATAAAGCTTCGTTCGCAAGAAAATCGAGTTTGAAAATTTGTAGACTTGGCTATGTACCGACTAAAAATATTTTGAAAATAGAATAAAATTATATAAAATAAAATGAAATGTTTTCGTTTGAAACCTCGTTTCCACGTGTTTAGCTATTAGTCGATCTATTGCACACGCGCGATACATTTTCAAATATATTTTTCTCGAAAACAGAGAGCCTTATGGAAAAATTCTATTCTATATTTTTCACTTATTTTTCCATCCAGTTTAACCTGTGGTCGATTATATTTACTTTCGTTCAGTCCGGAATTAGCCAAGTCCAAGTATAGCCGACAAATTTTTAAACTCGATTTTGTCGGAAATGGGGCGTCGTATGAAAAAAGTTTATTCTACATTTTCCACTTGTTTTTTCACGTAGAATCGCCTCACCACCCGATTGTACCATTAATTACCAGACACCCTGTATAACCAGGATAGTGAAAAAGGTTATTCAATATTTTTCTCCCGTTGAATAATATTGCATAATCTTGTTCGTTATGATTATGAATAATCAATCTGAAAATTCATTACTTTTCATTGACGTGATGAATGTGTTACACATTACTTTAATGTAAATAGTCAATCATCAGTCGTGTACGTAATTTGTAAGGACTGCTATAATCAGACATTTCATGCATCGTAGACTACAATAATAACAAATGGAGTAAAAAATTATAAAGAGACAGTCTCAAATGTAAATTATATTCTTTTTACTTCCAAGTAAATAACATAAACAGTACGAGTTGCTCTAAGAGTAATGCGTAATATTGGTTATTCAAATAAAGATATAAATCTGAAATATGTCGTATCTAAATTTCAAATACGTTGAACTTGGATTATCAATGATTCATTTATCATAGAAATTATCTATACTTTATGCTAAATTGTCAGTTTCCAGTCTTTCCCTTCGAAAGACATTCCAATAGCCAAATACATATGATAATCCTGATCATTAATCAAACTACTAATTCAGCGGCATACAAAATAATCCGTAGAAATACTATTATGCAAACATACTTTCGAATAAAATTGCAAATAGAAGAAAGATGGTCCTTTGCTGTTCAAATAAAAAGAAATAATTCGAGAAGCACTGAAAATCTTTTTGCCAAGAAAGAAGAAAATTAATAACTGGTAAACGAGCTATTAAACGGCTGTTTTCTATTAAAATTCGAAATTTAATGTAGATAGATAAATTTAATGTATGTAAATAGAACAACTCGGAGTATTCCATCGAGAAAGAACTCTTCAAACGATATTTCGAAGACGCAAAGACACTTATGCTCGAAGTTGTACGGAACAATCCGAGAATATAGTGTTACAAGCATTTATGCTACCTGAGGTCGTTCGCAAGAAAACACCTCAATCATTTGGCTATTGTGAAACAGCTAGCGTGAAAGGATATGATAGGAGCAAGCGAAGAATCTTTTGTCGCGCAAGAACTGGCTACAATGAATACAAAATAACCAACCTCCATCTAATTAAAACAGCAAACCATAAAGAAGCGAAGGAAAGAAAGCCTGGAAGAAAAAAATCTCTCTCAATGGTCCACAAAGAACTATCATATTCCCGCAGAAAAATTAAAATCTTTTCAACAAAAACGCGACCACCCGTGCCCGAGAGGTAACTGTCCCAGTGAAAATTCCGCTGAAATAAACCACGGTTGCTGCGGGAAAGCGGCGACGAAATGAAAAAGCAGCGAGGAAACAGCAAACGACAACAGAAAACAACGAGGAAATAAAAAGAAGAAAGAAAGCAACGCGTACTAGCCCCGAGTAAACTCGAATCACAGTTGAATATACTTAGAAATAAGCGTTGAACTACTTTAACAGCGTCAGCAGTCTAACCTGAACCGCAGATGAAACGATAGGAAAAACGCAAACAAACGTCGACCTATTGTTTCGATATGAGGAAAACGGAAACAGAATAATCGGGAAACTTTGCAGACGCGAATCTGCTTTACAGTGAATACAAAAGGTATTGGCACACCGTTGTACTTATTATAGTATTTACGTAATAGTTAAGTAGGTCTAAGTATATCACATTTCGTACCATCTGATGACACATTTAATACGATTACAAAAATTTGATAATTTAAAGATGTAAATGTAAGAAGATATAAAGCTTGGTAAAAGAAGAAAGAAAAGGTTCGTTACAGAATAAGAATACGTGCGAATACTTTGTGTAGCTGAAGTATATCAAGTAGCTTGATATTAGTTGGCGCTATACAGCGGATCATCGTGTATTTATATAGAAAATTTGTAGATGGAAAAATGCATAAAATGCATGGAAATGATGGAAAAATATAGGAAATATTAAAGGTATAGTACTCGTTATATTATTTAATAAGTAAAGCAATGTAGCCAGATCACGTGTTTCTAATTATATTCGTAAAAATAGAAATTGACAAAAATATGTGTTATCTGGTTATTAAACTGTCGGTATTTATAAACATTGATATTTGTATGGTCGTAATTGGACTGCGGATATTTACGCAAACTCGTATTTTCTGCACTTAATTAAGAGATAATTGGAATCTAGATAGAGAATTATTTTACGTACTAATTAGTATAACCAGAATATACTGTACTTGTATTCTGTACATATTTGCACCGTTAAATCTCTCGTAAGTGCATAAAAGCATAACTAAAGAGGCGCGGATGGAATGTAAATAGAAATTTCTTTCGTTACATGAACGTTGCAGTGAATACATAATTCTGGATAGGCAACATATTTTTACATATATATACAGGGTGGTTGGTAACTGGTGGTACAAGCGGAAAGGGGGTGATTCTACGCGAAAAAAGAAGTCGAAAATATAGAATACAAATTTTTCATTTGAGGCTTTGTTTTCGAGAAAATCGGCTTTGAATTTTCGCTCGGTACGTGAACAGTGAGATCCTTTATAACGTACCGCACGCGTACCGAGCGAAAATTCAAAATCGATTTTCTCGAAAACAAAGCCTCGAACGACAACTTTCTATTCTATATTTTCGACTTCTCTTTGTCTTACGTCCAAAGCAACGTTTGTTTCGTAAGTCGGTTTGCACCAGTGATTTAGGAAGAATGGAGGAAGACCTTCTGTTTTAATTAATCATATTCATGGAGAATTTAAATTTCCAAAAATATAAAGTACAAATGACATGTAAAAATGTGGTAACGATCCAAAATGAAATATTTATTATAATATTTATGTAATATGTCAATGAAATCTATGTTTAGTTAGAAATCTCTGTACATATACAGGGTGGTTGGTAACTGGTGGTACAAGCGAAAAGGGGGTGATTCTACGCGAAAAAAGAAGTCGAAAATATAGAATACAAATTTTTCATTTGAGGCTTTGTTTTCGAGAAAATCGGCTTTGAATTTTCGCTCGGTACGTGAACAGTGAGATCCTTTATAACGTACCGCACGCGTACCGAGCGAAAATTCAAAATCGATTTTCTCGAAAACAAAGCCTCGAACGACAAATTTTTATTCTATATTTTCGACTTCTTTTTTCGCGTAGAATCACCCCCTTTTCGCTTGTACCACCAGTTACCAACCACCCTGTATATGTACAGAGATTTCTAACTAAACATAGATTTCATTGACATATTACATAAATATTATAATAAATATTTCATTTTGGATCGTTACCACATTTTTACATGTCATTTGTACTTTATATTTTTGGAAATTTAAATTCTCCATGAATATGATTAATTAAAACAGAAGGTCTTCCTCCATTCTTCCTAAATCACTGGTGCAAACCGACTTACGAAACAAACGTTGCTTTGGACGTAAGACGTAACATAGCATTAACATGTTAACACAAAGAGACGAAGGAAATTAATCATAGAGGACGAAGAATGAATACGTCGTTGATCTTAGCTTCGTTAAACTTTGTTTTCATTTGATACATACCCAAGAAACCGCATTACTTATACGATGGCCTGGATATATCCCAGGAAAAACTGCTGAGACCGGTCCAAACGATCGGTCGTTTTGAGAACCGCGTCGATCGATCCTCTTCTAGACTCGAACAATTCTCGCTTTCTGCGTGATCCTTTGTAATAGGAGTGACGAGCGAGAAATAAGAAAAGCAAACACCCACTGTCTCTGTTATCCAGTTACCAGTTTCTCATGGCAAAAATCTACCATCTACTGTCGAGCTCTGGAGACATATCTCGTTAAAATTCATCTCGTCCATTAGACACTTTACTCGATACCGATATTTTATCGTCGTGCAATTGGAACTGAGAGTATCGAAGGTTTGCGATTTTTCTACTGCGGAACAATAAATTTGTAGTTGATGAAATAAAGTGGGTAATCAGGTTGAAACGAAGCACACAAGCGATGACCAGTGAACTGTGAACTGTGTAGCGGTACTGCGATGTATTGAAGCCTTGAATTAGATTTGGGTTAATCGTAGAGTAGCAGATGGAATAATAAGGTTAAAAAGATTCAGAAGCGCCGATCACTGAACCGTGAACTGTGTAATTTCGTTTCTACGAAATTGCAACTGGCAACACTCGACATCTCAAATTGTTTAGATCGAAGAATAGTAAATTGATAAAATAATATAAATCGAGCGATAGAAGATGATTTTATTCAATAGCACATTGAATAAAAATATTCGTACGCGGAAATTGAGTTGTAAACTATGCAATTTTCGCGAGATTGGAATCAAAGGTATTCGAGCTTTTTCATTCGTCGATTCTTAGACCATCGAGTAACGAGTTTGTAAAGTAAAAAAGGTGACACGATAACGCGAGGACCACTCACGGGTCTGATCGAACGCGAAAACTGAACGGCGAACTGCGTAATTTTACGAAATTGAATAACAACGTTGACAAGATTCATAGGTATCGATTAAACGCGGTAACCGGGCCATAAACCAATTTCGTTCTGGCGAAACTGCAACTAAAATTAGTTAACTGAATTTTGTTTCCTTCGTAGATTCTTAAGCTGTAGAATAATAGGTCGAATAATAAAAGATCGGAAATATTGACGAGTGTGATGGAACACGACAACTGAACTGTTCATTGTTTAATTTCGTTTCGTGAAATTCAAACACCGAGAATATCCCGAATTTCGAATGCTTCCGGCTTACGGATTATAATTAGCTCGAATGATAACGTGTCAGATAATTAGAAAAGGAAAAAGAAGCAGAAAGAACAGAAAGATTCACAGGTGTCGATCGAACACGAACACTGAACTGTGAACTGTATTTCAAGGAAACGTGATCTCGATGAATACAGCAGGACGAAACGTTGATCCCGCGCTGGTGGACTGAAAGGTACTGCACCGAAACACGCGGACCGATATAGCCCTCGGACAGGTAGATCAATATAGTAGCTACGATGTGCCTAACACGCAGGATCTCAGCAGTGAACGCGTGCTTCTCTGCCCGTGGACGTCGTCGGACCTCTCTTCGATAGCTCTATGTCTTTCTACCCTTAGATTTAGGCTTCTACCCTCGCTAATTCTTTCATGACGCTGTATTGGCAATTCTATAGAGAAGCTAGCTGCGACGTGACAGAATTTTGCTTGCAGCTTTTGGCAATTGAAGAGGCAACTGCTTAACACTAGAACAGAGATACAGTCATACTCTTGCGTATAAGTCGAGATAAGTATTAGGACGTTCGACGATATTTGGTGCAAGTGTTTTAGTGTTCGCCGTTTTTATTTTCTACCTGCTTTATTATAAATGTATATTTAAAAATATTGTAAAAATATATTTAATATATTTCTCACGTTATACGATATCTTGCAATGTGAAATAATAAACGAAGAGCGATGCTCGTTAAAGTTTATCTTTTAAAGCTTTAAATGTCTTACACGAAGTAACGTATATCGACATTTTTTTTTCTTTGTTCCTTATCTTTTCAATGTTTTCTATGCAAAAAGAAGATAATAGAACTTAACATTATTGCATAACGCTTGTAGAATTTTTATAATATGCGCATAATTTGTTTCATATAGCGTAACATGCTTTTGAAAATTAAGATATATGAACATGTAATGTAGGCTTTTTTTGAGAACTGCATGAGGCACTTTAGCGGAGATTTTTTCACTTCGCATTCCTCTTTTGTTCGCTCTCGTTACATGATCTTGCTTGCATTCTCGTACATAATTTTCTTGCGACGAGATTATGCGAAAAATGCAATCGTCGCTGTTGTGATTTTTTAATGAAAGTTGATTAAACAATTTTTTGGTTTTATATGCTTCGATGAAAAGAATCTTCGAGTTTAATTACCAAACAATACCACATTTCGCATAATACACGTATTAATTGAGATTGAACGCGTACTTTGAATTTAGAGTACAGCGTGGATAATTTGTTTATCTTATTATTATATCATTTCAATTGAAGTGAGAACTGCAGAATGCCGTGAAAAAAATATTCAAAACTTCTTCAAACTCGTGGTTTTCCATGATTGAGTGCTGCGTTAGAAGAATTCATAGTGTATAGAGCGATTTAAGGTTGAGAAGTCCGTGGACACTTTATATTTAATGAGACAGAATTTTACTAATTAGAGGAAACTCATTTATGTTGCTGTATACAAGTAGAAAATAATGAAGTTGTTGCTCACAATGAGATTTCGTTCCAGGTGCTTTTACTATTATAGAACAACCGTTCAAGATCAACCATCAAGATCAAAAGATCAACCAAAATAGCAAAATAATATCTAATTTTTGCACGATAATTTTCTATAATTTTCAACGAGATTTAAAATGCTTCTCCATTTAATTGTTACGTAAATGAGAAGATTCATGACACGTCTCCCAACTCGTGGAAGACTCGGTAACACCATTATCGTAGTCATCTTCGTCTGGTATGCGAACCTACTATCTCTCAAAAGAGAGATTGCTCAAGGAAATACGTAATCAGTTGACGTCCGGTGACCAAAGAAAATTCGATCAGCAGAACCATTTCCACTGAAGACATCGAGCTTTGATCAAATGAACCCACAACGACTGATACTTTACGTTCTATGCTCCTCTGTAGAACAACAAGGAAACACCGCATATAAAAATATCCTTTTCGTGGAACTAAAAATTATACGAAGCAAAAGATTATAAGAATCTGCAAGAAATGAAAGAAAATAGTAAAAATCAGAGATTAGAAAATTTTCTTCCTTACAATTTAATACCTGAAATTAAATCTTAAGAGAAATCCTAGATTCTCTTAGATTCGAAGAGGAAACGTACTTGAAGTATTTTCTCGAAATAGGATTTCAAGACATTTTTTCCCAAAATTTGAATATCACACGTATGAGTGGTAAAATTATATAAAAGTTAACAGTACAAAATACAATTAAAGCAAAATACAATTAAAATTCGAAATCCCCAACAAGTGTCTAATCATCCCAGAAATTTGTTCACAACAAATACGTCAGAGTATAAGAATTAGAATATCTCAAAGTTAAAACACAAACACAAGACCTACTTATCGATCTGTACCAATCAATCGAACGAAGTAACACTGTTTTCATTTTTTATCGCCTTCTATTCATAGTACCAATGACCTAGAAACAAGATTAATCGGCGTCATAGTGATCGGCGATTAATAACGATAAAATCACAAAAGCGTCGGTGGGCTTTGCAAACATTCAGACGTGAATCACAGACGAACCTTCCATCGTGGTCAATATTTGGCCAAACATTGTAAATCAAACACTATAAATAAATAAAGGAGTATCGAACGGTTATTCGTAAATATCAATCGTGAAATATGAATAGGTCGACAAAATTTTCCAGATGGAGAAACGTTCGAATGGGATCGTATAAGCACAGTCTTCATTTTCATTTCCTTTGATTCGAGGGAACGTTTATTATGACAAGATTCGTACTATTCATAGATTCAGCGACGAAAAGCAACCGAAATTTCAGTACTCGTGGCAGGTTTAATTTTGTCCTGATAATCCTCACTGACAAGTTTCAGCGAATTTTATCTTTCAGATAAAAGATAGCGAATCGTTCGAAATGTTTTTTTCTCTAGTTTTTGGCTTGGCAGATTTAAATGGATGATACAATTGGCAAGAAACATGGAAAGATTTTCTCAGCCGAGTGAACTATCGCGTGATTACTTCAAGATAAGGTCGGAGTCGAATAGAATGATTAATAAGTCGATTAAAACGGATAATACAATTAGTAGAAAACATACAAAGATGTATCGATGTTCGATTTATTCCGAAAAGTAGTTGCTTTTATCGCAAATACGTGAAATAAGTTTCTTTTTCCAATATGAACATTTATATCATTGATTTTAATTATATAAGTTTTATAAATGGGAACAAAATAAAAAATGATACTGAACTAATCGTTTATGAGGCAACCAAACATCTTATTTGAATAATCATCAGAAAAAAGTTATGGATATTCTTAGCTATATTTTATTTTTTGCTCTTTTCCTTGGTTACGTAAATTTATTCTCATAGCTCATCTAGGAAATCGAATAGAATAGTTACATATATCCTTCTCTTTATTTTCTCTTCTTTTTCTCTCCCTTGGTGATCGTCCAAGAAACATTTATGCAAACAAATTATTTCTTAATAAATCTTTTATCCGAATGTTGGATCACATTGAAGTCGTATTACGAATCGAATGTGCCCGATGAATCATATCGTAGCAATGGAAAGAATCGATTGTGCTAATCTCAGAAGCAGGATTAAGGCTATTTAAACCAATCAAGATGCAATATTACCAATTAAGCGTAATTTTCAAAACGTCTCTCTTCTACGTGTAGAGGGGTCTAAGTCCCACGTTAAGTACTCGTTTGAAGCGTTTAAGTGCACTATATTTTATAGTATTCGAGGCTACACGACGATTACGATATATAAATAGAAGAGGTGTATGTGAATGATGTGCTGTAATAGCTGGGAGCAGAGCTTTTAAGTTCAAGGCTTGTTTTGTTGTACTGAATTATTAAAGTGGAAAGATAATATAATTCCTGAGATTATATATAGGAACTTATTAAAAGCATATTGGTTACGTAATAGCTGTATCCTAATTGCAAACGTTTAAAATAATCTTCTTCCTTAATAGCGTTATTTATATTACCGTGTTTATCCTCATTATTGCATTTCTAAGAAATAAAGTAGAACAGTAATACAAGAACATAATGGATCGATTAAGTGCAATAAATTCTCTATCCAGTCTCTAAAACGTATAACACGTTTACAGAGAAATAAGAAGACGGCCCTGACTTTTAAAAATCTTCCATCCCGCTTGATCGCAGCATAAATTAAATTTCTATGTTCGGATAGAAATATTTCTATCAATCAAATTTATCGTTCAAAAATTTCCACAGTCAATTATTTAACTATAAATTCCATTGAGCTTTTAACTTTGTTAAAGCCTTAACCCTTTGCAGTTTCTAATTATTTTTGAAACATATTCAGATAGGTGTAAATAAGAAAAATGATATGATGAGATAATATGAGATAAAGATCTTCAAAAAAATTAGAACATCTTTATTACGATAAAGTATAATAATGGTACATTGCCATATACACGCACGCGAAATTGTAATAAAACTTACGATCATAATACGGTGTCCAGTCACTATGGCAATACGATACACTGTAATAAGATCATCGTGCATAGACTCAGAATACAGAACCGCAAAGGGTTAATAATAAATTGACAGTATAATAATAAACATCTAATGATAGTTAATGGTAATAAACTTCTAATAAAGAAAAACACGTTAACAACGAATCAAACATTTACACCTCAAATTTACAAGCTCGTACATCTTATTTCCTCAAAAAAAAAAGAAAAAAAGGAAATCTATAACAGAAATTATACTTTTATATAGTTTGATAGTTTACGACAGCAAAAAGATATAATTGATTATAAACTTTTACTTTAATTAGAGATCCGAGTACCGATAAATAATTGCTACAAAAGGATAGTCTAATTTCAGTGCAACAGCATACTAATAGAACGTAATAATACAATGATAAGCAACTAATTGTACGAAGAAATTAAAAGAACTAAGAACAAAATGCAAGATACATAGAAAATAAAATAATATACAAAAAAAAAAATATTAAATATCCAACACAGAATACTCGTCGTTTCATCTCTAATTAAGTAAAACGAGATTTTATTTCAGTTCTATCTCGAGGTAATTGCGTTCACAAGAAATAAATTTGCATGAAAATTCGCGGTGAATCTATGACACTATAAAAAGTCAATAAACACACCAGTCGTTCGTAATTTCGATCCAGCACCGATTCTCACTATCGGGACAGGACAGGGGACAGAATTTATGCCGAGTGGCCCTGCCCAACCCTATCCTGACCCAATAATGTAAATCGGGAACGATCCTTTCTGCGGTCACAAAAATCCTTTGCACAGGCGAAAACGACAGTTGCAGGTCCCACGATGAATTCTTCTTGCGATTTCAAGCTCGAGTAGGGCCGATTCTCACTATCGGGACAGGACAGGGGACAAAATATACCCGCCAAACGGCCCTGCCCTGCCCTATCCTGACCCAATAATGCGAACCGGGCATGATCCTATTAAATAATCGACCGCTGAGGCACATGGAGATATCCAATCGATTGACGATGGCATTTGGCTACCCAGAATCAATTTTAAAGATGTATCGATTTAAATATGCATTGTATTGCCATCCCTATCTCCTTATACAGTAGGATTTCATTCATCCGAAGTCTTCAGAAGACAACTGCTCAATAAACTGTTCGTATAATTGGAATATATATGAATTTTATTTCCTTTTCATTATCTAACTATCATTTAATATAATTGTAGTTCACTATCTTTCTCTTTTAGTTATCATTTTTCATTTATGTAATACGATTTGATCAATTCTCTCCACTGTTATTATTCATTATATTGATTGAAGTAGCAATAGTATAGTGATAGTAACAGCAGTGGTAATAGTCTAAGTAGTAAGAGTTAAGGAAGAGAATTTATTATCAGCTTGCAGAAATTTAATAGGAGAAAGGAAAGTGAGATTTAATAAAAGAATTTATTTAGGAAGAGAATTTATTATCAGCTTGCAGAAGAGAATTTATTATCAGCTTGCAGAAATTTAATAGGAGAAAGGAAAGTGAGATTTAATAAAAGAATTTATTTACAGATGAGCGAAGTTTTCATTTAAGTAATACGAGTTGATCAATTCTCTCCACTGTTATTATTCATTATATTGATTGAAGTAGCAATAGTATAGTGATAGTAACAGCAGTGGTAATAGTCTAAGTAGTAAGAGTTAAAGAAGAGAATTTATTATCAGCTTGTAGAAATTCAATAGGAGAAAGGAAAGTGAGATTTAATAAAAGAATTTATTTACAGATGAGCGAATATTTCATTTATGTAATACGAGTTGATCAATTCTCTCCACTATTATTATTCATTATATTGACTGAAGTAGCAATAGTATAGTGATAGTAACAGCAATGGTAATGATCTAAGTAGTAAGAGTTAAGGAAGAGAATTTATTATCAGCTTGCAGAAATTTAATAGGAGAAAGGAAAGTGAGATTTAATAAAAAAATTTATTTACAGATGAGGGAATTTTTCATTTATATAATACGAGTTGATCAATTCTCTCCACTGTTATTATTCATTATATTGATTGAAGTAGCAATAGTATAGTGATAGTAACAGCAATGGTAATAATCTATGTAGTAAGAGTTAAGGAAGAGAATTTATTATTAGCTTGTAGAAATTTAATAGGAGAAAGGAAAGTGAGATTTAATAAAAAAATTTATTTACAGATGAGCGAATTTTTCATTTATGTAATACGAGCTGATCAATTCTCTCCACTGTTATTATTCATTATATTGATTGAAGTAGCAATAGTATAGTGATAGTAACAGCAGTGGTAATGATCTATGTAGTAAGAGTTAAGGAAGAGAATTTATTATCAGCTTGCAGAAATTTAATAGGAGAAAGGAAAGTGAGATTTAATAAAAGAATTTATTTACAAATAAGCGAATTTAATCGGCAAGAGTTGTGTGAATGAAAAATGAAGTATTAAACGTGTTTAATAAATGGAGTTACGGATAAATAGAGAAATATAGTTTTCTTCTATCTACCAACGTATAGAGAAGTCATATTTCAAGCCTTAGAAACAAATGTGCCCCAGGTATATATTTATTATATATTAATTTCCAATTTGTTTTTTAAACTTTGATGAAATAGAGTTTCAAATTGAAGCTAACGATACTTAATTTTGACGATAGATCACGGCTGTGAGTTCGAATCCTATTAAACGGATTACACTCGTCAGTGAAATAGCACTAACTAGCAGGTTTACCGTTATGCTATGGATTTCTAATAAATAAAATAAAATATTGGAAAAAACGTATTTCTAACAAACGAAACTAACTAATTTCTCCAACTACAAAAGTTTCAATTCTAAGAGAGTTATCAATTTTTAAGACGAACAGAATTCTAAAACATATCCATAAAACATATCAATAAAGCTTATCATTGTTTACATCAAAATGAAATCTTGCTACGAACGAAACTATAGTCATATTTAATAACAACTACAATCAGATGTTTGAAGAAAATATAGTATTATATTATCGTTCATGACTTATAGTTTGTATTATTTAGAAGTTGGAATTCATAATTTAGAATTTGTAATTTAAAATTCATGTATCAATCACCATAAATTACTTGGATATTATTTGCAAAAAGTTCCGGGTTTATATAATACGAATTTTGTTTCTGAGATGTGGATGCTGTTGCGCAATGTCTATGGGTCAAGCGATGTCATCAAAGCGGAAATTCATAAATCGTGATCAAAGTTTGCTTAACGAACGGGGTTTAAATTATATTTGGCGGTAATTAATGAATGCTTCAATTTGTTGAAGTGTCTGACGCGTCCCGGATAATGTCGAAAGCCTGGAAACGTTTGGAGTTTGACGAAGTTGCGGGACAATTTGCGGAACTTCGGATCGATTCATGCCCGTTTCGAAATTAAATCGCAAGCGTGGCTTAAAAGAGAGCAGAGTGGTGCAACGATGATCAGCGATGATGGATTTCTTCTAACGAGAACAAAGCACGGAAAACTTTTAACTGTTTGCAGGAGTAAAACAATCTTCGTTTGAAATTTTTCCCAATATTTTTGTACCAATATTAGAGGAAGATATAACAGATTTCAACTTTATATCGAAACACGTTTCATTTCCATTATAATTACTATTACTAAAGAAAAGATATTGAAACTTGCTAAAAATAAATTGGGAACAAAAGAACAAATCTCTCTCTCTCTCTCTCTTTCTCTCTCTCTGCATCAAGCACTCAAGAATTTAGATTCCATCAATTTCACGAGATAATAAGGAAGTAATTAACTGCATAAAGGTCCCATTAAGTAAAGCAGAATATTATTTTGTTAAGATACAAGATTGTAGTATTAAAATGGCAGATACATTGCACAGGCTCGCTACATAAATCAAAGCCATGAAAAGGAGTTTCTATGATATAAAAAAAGAATATGCTTCAATTTCTTCAAACTTCATGAAATTATAGGATTGAAGCCAAGTGAAAGAAGATACAGCAACGAAGGAGAATAGCAAGCAAATACAACATTACAATAGTCTTTACAATATTAAAAAGCAGATTTATCCAGTTTAAGAATCACATGATGATAATAAGAATAAAAAACCAGACTGCAAAAGGAAATGTTGCATTAACAAAATGCAGATCCAATTCAATCGTTTAAGAAAGGGATTCAATGATGTAAATGAATTAAAAGCAAATTCTAAATGATAGAATAAATTACATGAACACTATAATGATCCTTCATGAGTTAATTACTTTGTTTAGTTTGTTGAGCTATTCTATACAATAGATTTTTAACTAAAGTAAAATAAAATAGGACAAAATAAAATAGCTCGCCCATCCAAGTATAAGCAAACAGTTAAAAGCCAAGCTCAAAAGACTATTTCTTCATAATCAACGTATCAGCTCACCCGTAGCCGAGCCAGATGACGATGATTCCGTTTGGTTAACCATCTTCGCTCCCTGCAGTTGCTTCATTTGACCACTAGGTAACAATGCAGGGTTGTTCGCCATAGAATTTGTCGACGACGAGGGCTTCACGTCGATCTCCTCCATCTTCTCTCGAATATCCTTCGTTTCTGTATCATCTGATTTTCCTTGATTCTTGCTTAGACTCTTCTTCATACTGATCTTTTGGTTATTTGTATTCTTGTTTGAAGAAACAAGTTTGTAGTTTATATCCTCTCCAGCATGGACTGTGTCATAGTATAACGTCGAATCTAAAGAAACAGAGAAAGAAACTGATACAGTGGTTGGCTCGTGTTTGAGGAATGATCTGTTATGAATGGAAGGTGAAGGTGAAGGTTTCTTTTATTAAAGCCGGTTCTACTGGGTTTAATACGATTATTGGATTTCATGCGTTTGTACTGAATGTTTATATTATGAAGTGATAATTCCTACCGCATTTGTTACATTGCATTTATGCGCCCATTACATTAAAGGATGCAAGAATATAAAAAATAAAGTGACGAGAAGAGTACTGTTTAAGAGATGAAAGAAATTTCTATTTAGATTCGATTTTTGCATGAAAACTGAAATTTATTGATGATCTATTTTATCAAACGTCGAAAACAGTCGTAAAATACTACTCGCTGACCCAGAACTAATTAATAACAAAAATTACTTTTATATTCATCAACTTCTTCAAAATATAAAATTAATTTCGTGTAACTTTATAGTTAAAAATCAAGCGTAATTAAATGCTGTATCAGTCAAATAATTAAAACCAATTACTTCTTTTTTAAAAACAAAAAGATAAAGCATCGTATGAAAAAAAGGTGTATTCTATGCCTTTAAACTATAAAAAGTAATAGTAAAAATCGTTGCACGCAGAAGAAATAATTGTACACGTGAAATTGGTAATGACATAATGCAAAATCATCCAGATGTTCGTGCGTACAGAAACGTTCAAAATAGATGGTAACAATGTTGTTTGATGGTAGCACTTTGACTGCCGGAAGTTTCTTCCCGTGTACGGAATCGCTGGACAAATAGTGTTTTGTCACGCTCGCTTAAATTTATCGCGACATTACCTAGCTCGGATGGTATCGTAAAGAGATAAGAATCGTCAGACAAATGTAAAGAGAAATGTAGAAGAATATCTGTGTTGCTTTCTTCTCGCTTTTCACGAATTACAGAAACTTACGATCTTTGACAAATTTTCATCGAAGACTATTTCATTTTCATCAAAATAAATGTCGGAGAAGAGTCAGGAACAGGATTGTGGGCGTTTGATAGACCTCCCTTGGAGTTGGCCATCGTTGTGTTGTAACGAAGATACGGCCTGATGCTACGAGTATGGACACTACCGATTCGACAATCAACAGCGGTGGTTGGGCACTTGCTATGTTAGTGACGTTGGTCTTAGGTTCGATGACGAATCCACGGTCAATGGGATGAAAGATATACTTGCTCTAACTCAAACTCACTGATCGTCAGGTGCTGCTCCCTTCGTCGGTGGGATCTCAAGAAAGAATGAATTTTCGTTCCAATGATGCCACAGAGGAAAACTATGATGGAGTGTGTCTAAAAACACGAGATCATCGGATTCGTCGAGTATAGCCCTCGTTCCGAAAGTAAGAGAAATTGACGTCGCTATCAATTGGTCAATTTGGGACAAAGACTGTCTGTCCGTTTGGAAGATCTTAATTGCCGGAAAAATCCAGGTTTTATAGCTGGTCCTCGGGCTAACTGGACTTGTGCTGTGTACGTGCCTCAACATCAGGTAATCATTGTCCGAAGGAACCGCTGGAATGTTTTACTGTCAAGTACCTCTATTGGTATTTCTTTTAACGAGGGTCATACTATTTTGAGGGTCATTCCACACCCAGTCCCGTTGACCGCGGCTACGTTCGGCGACTGATGGTCGCCTTGAGCCCAAGTTTATTATCACAAATCGCAAACAAGTACAATTGGGCAGAATGACGGCAAATTGTTTAATTACGACTGTAAACTTTGATTACAATTTTACGGATTTTTCCGAAGTTCCAGAAGGAAGGCTCCGGTGTCCTTTCATCTCCGACATAAATATATACACACATACATATAGAGGTAAACATCTATTTTAATTATTTCATTAATTATCTTCTATTTCTGGACACGGTATAGGAGTATACAGGCGAAAAAAAAAGATAAAATCTAAAGAGAATCTCGAAATTAATTTAACTCCTTGTAGCGCATTTGTAAAAATTATAAAATGAAATAGAAACGTTTGAGATATGGAAGCGAGAGAAATTGTAGACATTTTTATAATTGGGAATTTAATAGGAACAAGAAGCTTGTCATCGAGAAATTAAAGTTGGAAATTACAGCCTTATTGCGTATTGTTAAAAATTCGAAGAAAAGAGAGGAAAGTCGGTGATATTGAAAAAAAAGAGTTCAAAAATTCTTTTATTTGGAAATGTACAATAATACGAATAAAGGACGTGTCACCGGGAAATTAAAATAGGTTTCGGGAGTGCGAACGAAGCACAATACAACGTTGGAATCGGTTCAGTAAACCGATAAACGAAATATATAGCGCGCTATTAAATAAGCCTGTCAGCGAACATAGAATACGAAAAGATATACGATGACACAGGGTTAAAGACTCAGCACGTATTGTAAATAGGTATATAGTTGAAGGTAAAGAAGACAGGAAACTTCGTCGTAATATTCATAATCTATATATAGCGAATAGTAACTAGAAAAACAAAACAATTAGTCTTGAGACGAAGCAATGAAATGTTGTTTTGTCTAGAGATAAAACATGTGTTAGAATACTAAACAGACTACTAAACGCTGGAGAACTAAACTGTATGAAAATATTAAAAGCTTCAGAAGAAGTTATTATGATTTATAAAAAAGATACATTATCATAATGGTATGAAAAATTCAATTTCTTCAAGCATGACACACAAAGATAATAATCATAACGTTTCAACACAGAATCCAATAATGTGGATTGATTGAAAAAAATGATGTATAAAATATTTTAACGCAACGTTGAGTCTTAATTGCGTAAATCAATGGATGAAAAATCATTTGGATATTATAAACAATTAAGGAAACGAATATTTACTTTGTATTAATTAGATGTTAATGTAAAAAAAAATATGGAATAGAATATTTGCCCTTGTAATCGATGTAAAATAATTTATATTAAACACAAGGTTAGAAAGCAATATTAAAAAACTTTACGTTACACGTATCTGCTTTACTAGGAAATTATTAACTACTCAATCACTTGGCAGTGTAAAAATGTTGCCCTTTTTACAATTTAATTAATAACCTTCAAGTTTTACATATGTATAACAAGATACTTCAAATGTGCATTGCTTAGTATTAAAAAACACGTGAAACATCCATTTCGAATTATACTATTCTTTTTATAAATATTAAGCTTTTATTGGATAATTACGTTCTGATCCTAATAAATAGTTCACTATTAGAGTTAGTTTTCACAAATACCTCAAAATTGATCTGACAAACTAACAATATAAAAACATTGGCAATAAAAGAAAAATCGATGAAAAATACATAAAAGAAACATATGGTGCTTTATTTCGCGATCGTGAAAATGAACGTACTTTATCAAAACTAATACACAAAGCTGGCGTGGGTAGAGTTTGAATCACTCTATGTGGAAATATTAATAAAGCTAATCGGTAATCAAACTGAATCGCGTGGGTGGGAGTAAAAGACGAGACGTAGAAACGCAACGGCGACACCCAAATCGTGTTTCGACCTCGAAACTATCTTCGAAATATTCCAACGAATTGTTCAACGTGTTTTAACAATTTCGATCAAAGGAAGAATGGAAAAGATAGATACGCATAGACGTATGGTGGACGTTTTCGTGAGATAATACCGCGGCGCTTAGCCGCGCGGTCTTGAGCTAACCTCAAAAAGGTGATCGACGATCGTGAGCCGCATGTCACGACAGAAGACGTAGGTGTCCAGTCTTCGCTGCACTATACCGCTACGTCGTTAACTTAGCAGGAGACGTGGCCAATAATAAAATCACCAAGGATAATGAGAGTTCTTTGTCGAGTGATAAGGAAGCAAGTGGACACAAAGTGACATTCACCCTTCGTACACATATACTCACGCGCGCGCACATTGACGCCATGCCCTCTTCCCCACTCCTTCTTGCTCGTTAATGGCGTGCGATCGAGCTGCCATCTGGTGGCTTCTCATGAATTAATGCTCCGAAATTTTCGGAATACAGTAGTGCCACGTTAACTGACCTGTATTGTACTTCAATAACTGACCATCGATATCCCCACCAGTTGTTGCAGCTGGTTTCGTCGAACGATTCGAATTTTCCGCTACATGCATACGTTTGAAACTATTTGAAGTATTTCTGGAGCACGTTACTACATATATACCAGAGTCCCTTTCAGGATCGTGACATGTCAAAGTGGAGACGCCTCTTCGTGTGTTTTAATAATATACAGGTTAATATAGGTTAAATTTGTATGAACACATTATTAACGGTATACTGTGAAATAAATTTTAGTTTTCGCATAATTTTAGAAAATATGTCAATGTTTATGAAATGAAAAATTCATTCGATTAACATCTCCTATTTTTAAAATTTCGATTCACGTCTCCCGTCAACAATGTGTTAATACGGCAATTATATTTAAGTGGGAGTTAAGAGGGATTTTATACATCGTAAAGATTGTAAGTACAATATCAATTTTCAAATAAGTTTTATAGTCTAAAATTTGAAGTGTTTCTATAAAATCTATACGGTTCTGGGCGCGGCTGGATACAGCTTCTTAATTCTACTACATTGTTTCTACCTAGTACATGTATGTCAAGTAAGTAAACAAATGTCTTTGGTACCCGTATCTGTTTTCATAACCAACAGAGAAGGTTTCTCGGTATTTTTAAGAAATGCACCTGTCTCGGTAACTAGCCACATTATATCCCGACTCGTAGTCCTTTAACGAAGCTAGACTGTGTACACTGAACATATTTTTATTGAAATTTTAGAATGAAAGATACAGAAATGAACGAAGAAGATCAAAAATAGAGAATAAATGAACAGATAAAATGAGAGAAATATCGCACAAGATAATTGTAACTAACATTTAATGTAACGTGTAACTAAATATGTATCTTTGCAATTTGTATTGAAAATGTATACGTACATGTTTAAAACTAAAACTAAAACGTTTAAAACCGCATGGCAAAAATCAAGCACAAATAAACATTGAAAATCGCCTATCGGTGTAAAATTAACGGCGTCAATTACAGACGTCTTATTAATCCAGTAAATAGAGAGCATTAAAACAACTTACATAAGGATAACGAAGACGTATTACATAAAATAGACAAGATCATTGTCAACTTAATATATCTCTATATATATAATTAGTATTCGATCTTATTGTCATATAAATACTTTTTTGACAAATTTATATAATAAATCTAATACACATATGAATCTAGATAAGATAGTATATTCTTTTAGCATGATATAATAACATTAGATTTTTTAATACTGTAATCGTAATCTATAATGGAACATACTGAAAGGTTATCAAATTGATAATAAAAACATCCTATCGACTAATAAAATCTGTTTATAGAAATTGCGATACAATATAAAATAGTGAAATTTCCACGGAAGTTGTAACGTTATATAGAATTAGTTTAACATTATAATATAATTGACGATTTGTCATAATTCTAGACTTGCGAATACGAAATGCTGAAATGTTACTAAATCAATAATACAAAAATTCGGGTTTTGAGGGGGTTATTGAAACCTAATATCAACACAGAGCGTATCTCGCGAAGTTATGAACATCATATCGTAACAGTAATCTATCCATCGCTGCTTGGCAGCCATCTTACAAGTGTATCCCCGACCCGTTAAATATTTCTCCGATGCATAAAAGTAAGTCCCAGGCCGGCAAGCAACTATAGCGTTTGCGCGGATCTCGTATAATCAGAACCGGTGAAGGTATAAGTGGTGTCAGTCGACTACGAGCGTTGGGGAAAGCGACGTCATACGAGACGCGGTATTGCACTGTCGATAAGTCGTGACTTAAATCAGCTTAATTTTCGTAAAGTGTCATATGATACTGAATTACACATTAATATACAACGAGTAATTCCAGCTGACTCGTCAAATAAAGTATAATAGCAGAATAGTAAGTAAACGTATCAATTAGCCGCGTACATTCTATAGCCCAACTATTAATCATCAATTTATACGTTGAAATAGCGAAACAGTTTCCTACAGTCGATCTCACGCGAGCCTTCGTAACTTTCGTCGAGTACGTGCAACGAAAAAATCTATTTAATAAAATTCATAAACGAGCTATGCGGAAGTCAAACTGATCGACTCCCATCGAAGGTAAAATCATTTTGTATTTCTGAAAACATCGAGCAAATTATAAATTGTATATTCTAGTACTAAAACGAAGAATTTTTCAGAAAGCGCGGTCGATCAATTTGACTTCTAAGTCACAGAAATAATCTATCGCTGGAACGCTCGCAGAGACTCAACCACCGTTACGCGAGTAACTTCGTGACTATGCTCGGCTAGCCTATTACAAACGAACCCATTTGACGAATCATTCTGATTGATAACACCTCTAAAAGTCAGTTTTCACATATTGCTTGTTAACGGAATGGAAGCGGAATTGCGCTTACGGCATGCGAACGACTTCAAGAAGAAGTTTCGATGGAAAACGCTTAAGCGTAGCCAACCGGCCTGAAATGCGGCGCGAGTTGATTTCCGGCCCGACGGATACTGTCAAACTCTCATGGCTTGGTAGCTGAGTAGCCTTGATGCGTAACACCTCAATTACATCATTATCGAGTCTGTCAGCGCGCTAAAATTATTGCGTCGCCGGCATTCGTTCACTTTCAACGAATTTGTTCAAATGTGCGTCGCGTACTCGCGTACATACGTTTAGTGTTCGTCCCTTAAGGCGTCCGTGTACGCCCGATTAATCGATAAACTGACCGGCGTTTCCCATAAAAGCGGCAAGCTGACACAGTGAGATAATTGCACAAGGTCAGTCCATTAATCAACATTGACATAATGGTACATAAACACAGAGAAAGATAACGATCCTGGTGTTTAGACTGACAACGTGATTCTTATCAGAAGGGATAATAATAAAATAATCCTTGCTACACGATTCAAGCCAAATTGTCTAAAGCCTTCTTTGATGACTCTGACGGATTGAAATGAATTAATTGTACATATACGCAATTATAAGTTGTCCCGCCCTGTATTAAATTACACGCTGTTGAAGCATTATTAACACGACGCTACGATCTCTTTCAATGACCGTTAAACGACGTAATGATAGCGACGTTTATATAATTTATAGTAATTTGCTCGATGTTTTTTATGTGAAATATGATAAAGAAAACGTGCGATGGACTAGTAGCTAAAAGTCGTTCAATCGTTTTCTTTTCTTCTCGAATTCTTCGGAAGTTTCGTGTAATATCGTGTAAAGATATTTTAACAAAACAACTTTTTATTGCCTCGAAACAAGGACATTTGGTGTTGCAATTTCCGATCGTAAAATATTTCCATCGGTATTTGCAGTATGATTTTATTGAGAATGTCTGTTTCTTATTTAAATGTTCTTTTTATCTTCTCTCCTCTATGTCTGTTTATGCAAATATTCAAACAGGCTAGTTAGCGCAAAAATAACGTAATTCTCAAAAATAAGCATGTAACATAGAACGATATAAGCAAAAGATGAAAATGGAATCTGTTGTTCTCGAAATGATATAATTTTTAAATTTAGAGTTTTCGTCTGCAAAAATAGATAAAGTATTCTAGCATGTTCTTTCGTATTTAATGTGATTTAATTATAAATAATTATAAATAATCATATGAACGATGCGATATAAATATTTAATAGTTTTCACTATTTAATAGTTCTCTGTAATATTTATTGTAATTTTTATTTGCCATTATAATTTTTTCTCTGCGTAATCACGGAATTAATCTGATAACTTGTAACAAATTACACGATCTTTTATATTTATCTTCTGTTATCTATTACGTTTTACGAGCTTCACTCGCAATTAAGTAAAGTAGTATTTGTATTTTTTATAGTATAACGATAGTAATTGACATAAAGTATTTACGTTTTTCCTAGATAGATGTCAACTAAACACAAAGATCAGGGGAAAATGCAGCCTAAAGGACAAATATTGAATGCAATTCATCGACTAATTGAATTCATTGGCAAATGGATATATACCTTCGTTGCATTCTTGAAGGGTCCTGCAGAGTCTCAACCTCCTATAAAGGATCTAACGCTTTTACACAGTGCAACTACTTTAGCATTAAAAATTCGAAATAAACAGGTAAATTCATTGTGTTCTTCCAATCCAAATCAAATCTGTTTGCAAATGACTGTAAGATAAGTTCTAGACACTTGTAAAATAATAAATTAAAATGATCGCAATCTCTGTTTATTTACACATACAAATTACAAGTGAGCACATATGATTACAGTTAACTTCACAAGAAGTGGTACAATCATACATAGATAGGATAAAAGAAATTCAACCAATATTAAATTGTGTAGTGGAAGATCGCTTTGAGGACGCCCTCAAAGAAGCAAAACTGTGTGATGATCTTTTGAAATCTGAGAATGCTCCATCTCCTCAAGTATTAGCTGAAGAAAAACCCTTCTTTGGAGTGCCTTTCACAACAAAGGTAAATCTTACTTCATGAAGTATGCAATGGACATCTTACGATGGTTTTATATGTATATTAAGACAAATGTAAATTTTTTTGATTACAGGACTGTATTGCAATTGCTGGAATGAAACAGACAGCTGGTTTAACCCTTCGTAAGAACGTTGTTTCTGAACATGACGCAGAAGTGGTTAGGTTAATGAGGGCTGCTGGAGCCATCCCTCTGGCTACAACGAACGTGTCAGAATTAGCCATGTGGTGGGAAACTTCTAACTGTTTATATGGAACTACAAAAAATCCTTATAATACGAGACATATTGTCGGAGGTTCCTCCGGTGGTGAAGGTTGTATACAAGCTGCAGCTGGTTCGCCACTAGGAATAGGATCAGATATTGGTGGTTCTATTCGTATACCGAGCTACTTTAATGGACTTTTCGGGCACAAACCTTCTACTGGAATGGTTTCGAACGATGGCCAATACCCGAGTGCACAAAGCGAAGACCAAAACAGATTGCTATCTATTGGCCCTATGTGCAGATACGCGCAAGATTTACTGCCTACTTTGAAGATTCTTGCGGACAAGAACGCAGATATGTTGCATTTGAACGAAAAAGTAGACATTTCGAAGCTTAAGGTACGGATAGAATATTTATATTATAATCATTGGTCGTATGTAGTATGTGATAAGTATTTATTTCAATTTAGTTTTATTATATGGAAGACGACGGTGGTCAATACTTCACGTCTCCAGTTGAGTCAGAGATAAGAGAAGCCATGAGGAAGGTAGTTCAATATCTAGAGAAAGCTCATAAAATTAAAGCGACTAAGATCCACATAAAGAAAATGAAAAAAAGCATCGCTCTCTGGATGGCCAATATGAGTTGTAAAGACGAAAAAGATTTTACGTATGAATTGTCGAACAGAATGGGTCATATAAATTTATGGTGGGAATTTTTGAAATGGACACTGTTCCTGAGTAATCATACATTGATAGCTCTTCTTACTGCCACGTTTGAAAGATTTGCCGTGAAGCATGGAAGCGATAAACACACGAAATTCATACAAGAAAGTAAAGAACTTTATCGAGAATTTCAGGTATGATCTCGTAATGAATTATTGATATTTATGAATTATATCAATGATCTCTTATCTTTTATAAACTACTGATGCAATATGATGTACATTCACAAGTGCCTGTAATGTAACTCATCAGGATTGGAATTGGCTCCTACCTTCTTCGTCTTCCTTTCTTACTATTGCGTTACGGAACAATACTATTTATTAAAATGGACGTGATTTCTTTCTCGAGTATTTCGTGCGAACTGGTCAGACTATACTAGTTTGTCTTTCACGGTATCACGAGTTATTTCTAATAAGTAGAAGAAAGATATTGCTCTGCATGCAGAATGAAATTTTTTCCATCCAATTATTAAAGATCTCTATTATTTTTGTAAATATCTTTTCATCTTGTAGTTGTATTCACGCGACGAGAAAACGACTGACTAAAGTTGAAGCATGTATCCAGAAATATCCGAACTTTTATCTTTTTCCTAAATCAATACCATTACTATGCTTATTGTTAATATTTATTTCTAATCAATTTTCTTCGAATAGGATATTTTAGGTGAAGACGGTGTGTTCCTATACCCAACGCATCCAACTGCGGCACCAATGCACTACGAACCGTTGATTAAACCATTCAATTTTTCATACACTGGAATTATTAATGTTTTGGGCTTACCTGCTACTGCGTGTCCTTTAGGTTTGAACAAACAAGGACTTCCTATTGGTATACAGGTATAAGCTCTGGACTATTAGTATTAATGAAACTAGAATGGTAAAATAAGAATTTTAGTATCATATGTAAATTGTATCTTACAGGTTGTTAGTGGCCTACATCAAGATCGTTTAACCATAGCCGTTTGTGAAGAACTAGAACGGGGTTTTGGAGGTTGGGTACCTCCAACTATTGTAGCTTGATACGATACGTGTCGCTTAGACAATAATCCTGTGCGTAATACGATGCATAAAGTTTCTTTTTACCATGCCCTGTCATCATCATTTTTCGAGAACTAACTTACACCTGATTAATCGATACCAGCCAATTACTAAGGTAAAGTACAAACATTTATCCAAAACGCAGATCTTTCAAATACTTCGAAAAAAAACTGAGAAAGGACTGAGAAGGAACTGAGACGAAGCTGAGAATTCTTACGAGTATACATAATATAATAAATACTGAATTTTTTTTTATCGGTTTGTGTAACCGATTATAAACTAAGTCTCGCCGAATACGCAAAATTGTGCGTAATAAATATATACTATATGAATATATGAGGTGTGCGTATATTTATATTTATAAATTGATGTTAAAAAATTCATTTTTCTAACAAAAATCATGTTGAAGGAAGTAATAACATTTGTATATAAGTAAACTACTACACTGTATTTGATTACCGTTTTTATATACCTCATCATAGATCTCTATATAGGGTTTTCTATTTTCATACAAATTGACAGAAAGAGAGAGAGAGAGAAAGGGAGGGAGAGAATGTGTGGATGGACGATATAGAGAAAAAAACCAATTACATGGTAGTAGGATGCTTTTGATAATGATGTGATAAAGTATTAAAGTTTTATGTTTATAATGTGTATTGATGTTAATATATCGTATACATACATATATATTTTATATACTAAAGAAATAAATTTTTATTTCTTCCCCATTATTCTATCACAACTTTTCTTTTACCAATGTGAACCAATGTGAAAAATGAACATTTCTTAATCTATAATTTTGTTGATTTACTTTATGATGAAAATTGTAAATATTTTTCAATTTGTTGTAATATAAAATAAATCCAAAGAAAAATCATCCAAATATTAAAATACTGTTTTATTAAAAAATACAGTTAGAAGAACTAAAAAACTATCTACGACGCAATTTTTATCACACTCATAATCCTAACAATATGTAAGTACAGGATTCGCATTTCTCGAGAATGTCATACGAAATGAGAGATCTTCGATTTCATGATACATTTGATATCAATAAATAATTTAATACATATTTACAATCCTAATACGAATTGCTTGTCGTATAAACTCTTTAAAAAAATGTGACTGATAGTTGTATGAATTTCATACACATGCAAAGATTTTTGTTAACTATGCTCGTGTTTTCGTGGACAGCGATAAATAGCCTATAAAAATTGATAAATATCATAATCTTAAGTTCACAATGTAAGTACTCATTGAAAGTTATAACACTATATGTGAATATGTTTTTCACATACGATAGAAAGAGGAACATAGAGAATGTTCGTGCAATGTTCATTTTATTTTTGTCACGAACAATAGTAGTAGCAGTATGTAAATATGTCTATGAAATAATGAAAATTCGTATGGAAACGAATTCATTCTTTTCATGATAAAAGATATTAAAAATAAAATAAGATAAAAAAGGATAAGAAATTCAATGTTTAAATAACATTGATCTAGTTGAAACAGAATCGTATATATGTATAAAGAACAAAAGCCTCATTAATGTATAAATACTTATTAAAAATGATGTATATCGTATCACAATATATCTTTTAAAAGCTACAGAGAATACAAATTTCACGGAACTTACTACATTCTACCGATCTTAAACCTAGCGACAGTATTTGATTTCATTATATTTAAAATTGAAAGTCAACACTTCTCATGGAAGTACTACTGCGTTAATTTGTTTTAACCTAAGAAGTCGAGAAAATTAACATTACGTTATGAGATTCGTTTCTTCGGAGGCAGTTTCAATTTTACTTGTATCAATTAGGGCATTCTCTGATCTGTTATCTAACGAATTATCCTTACTGTCGTCGCTATCTGGTCTATTTGAGATCTCATATTCATTCGAGCGTCTTTCAGATCGAGATCCTAACAAGTTATCCTGCACATCCTTGTATTGTTCTCTTTTGTCGTCAAAGTAATCAGCGCTACCATTGCTTAACATTCTATCTCTACCTCTACTGCAAGAATCCTCGTTTTCCTTTATCGTTCTACTATCTCTCCTACCTTCTTTTCTTTCTGCATATCCATTAGTACGATTAATTAGATTCAATTCTACATTTGTTCCTCCAGGTTTCTTCGGCGACTGATTCTTCGTAGAATTACCGAAAGGATTGAAGAATCGCCTTCCGTTCTCTTTATTCACACCATTGTTCGATTTTATAGAGTCTGCTTCGTTTCTTTTATGATTCTCCGTGTCTCTAGACTCGAATTTCTTATCGCGAGACTGATCTACGTTCTCAGCTTGCTCCTTCTCTTTTTTTATCGCAGCCAGTTCAGCTTCTTTCATCGCTGAATGAATAACTGGTTCGGCCCATAGTCCTGGGTTAAATGCTGGCCCTGTGCCACCTAATTCCGCTGGCAAAATGTCAGTGGGCAGGTGTTCATGCAGGGTGCTCAAGTTATTTCCATGTAAGTAGATCTGAAAATATTAGATGTACATTGGTAATGTTTATAAATTCCATTGAAAAAATTAATCTTTTTATTGAAAGACAATTGAAATAAGATATATCCGCTCGCTTTGAAATTAAAAAGAATGCTCGTTTAATGAAATCGGATATTCACACTTTATGCAAACATGCAACACTCTAGAGCTTTACGCTATCTTAGATTATCTGTTGGTCAATATTTAGTTACTCGTATCTGAAACCCATATGTATGTATGCAAAACGTTTCAATTTCAGCGTCAAGCGATTATACACATGGCTAGAAATTAAAAGCAATTAAAGGCTTTGTTTGCAATAATAATTTTCCGGGATGTGGAATTTACCGAGTGTATTATCTTAATTGATACAATTACAGCAATTGACGTCAAGTAGTTGCATTTTAATACGTGCGTTGATGTATATTGTTTACATTAATTAATCTTCTTAATCTATTTCTATCTTTAATATAATACGCTACTATGATACGTATTCGAAGCTATTATTTTATCCCTTTCTATCTACTTTCTAATATGTACTTTGTCCTTCAGCAGTTTCTCCTACCTTGTTCCGAGTTTTCTCGTCCAAAAAAGGTTTCACAAGGGCCAATGTGGCCTGAACGTAAAGCGGCGCCGACAGGAAGTGTATAGCTTTGAATCTAGCCGGAAATCGTCCTCGAAGAGCAGCTATTAGGTTTCGCAGTGCCGCTGCGCCCAGGGCACCGCCCTGTCGTAAAGAGAATCCGCTCCAATCTACCACCGCCACGAAACCGGATTGCTAGAAAAAGAAATGGAACGTCTAGAGCTATAGAAGACTAAAAGACTTACTTTGTTTGTTCGAGACTTAAAGTTACACAAACTTATACGTGAATCGTACCTGATTCCTTGGGTCTTGTATGAGAATTTCTAAAACCAAAAAGAGAGCGCGTTGAACTGATAATGCTGGTACTGCAATAGGGTCCCATTGCGAGGCTAAAATAACGAGTACGCATCTCCCTTTTCTGAAAATGAATTTGACTTATGATATTATAACAATATATTTAAATTAATAACAATAATAAATTATTAATAGTTATATTGAAATAATATTTTAAAAATACGCAAAGATGTTGTAGTTACAAAGAACGACGTCATCAATAGATGTGGTAAACTTTGTATTTTTATAATATTTAGGATTAAATATTCCCTTGTATCAAAAATGATCACAATTTATAAAACGATATCCATAATCTTATATTATCTTATATTATAATTTTCTTATATTATGTTATCTTATCTTATATTATAATATATTTACCATTATCTTATATTATAATTTAATCATCAGCCAATCAAATTTTTTTTTTCATCATTATATAACAAAAGTAAACTATCTATAAAATTACTATAAATTATTAACTTATTTTTACAACCATCATTGATTTAATTCTAAATAATATCCGAAAGTACTAACTTCGCTATGTCTACGTAAATGTTAATATAAGTTTCAGAATGTATTAAATAGACCGGAAACGAATTTAAATTTCAAAATGGTACCTATCACGTGCAGGAAGTACACCGGGTATTCCAGCGCGCAGCGCCCGCTGCAAGGCTGGATCTCTTGCGGTTAGATTGCCGAAGATATCCTGTCGATGCGCTACTTGCGCCTGATAAGCGGCTATCAGGGCAGCAGCTTGTTCCGTGCGATATTTCCGGGCTAGCAGGAAACGTGTAATATATTCATCCGTGCAGTGCTTCAAGTCTAGAAGCAAACAGATGGGTCATTGTAATGCTTCGCGTGAAAAAAATAGCCGGCAGGAAGCCGCTCGAACGCGGACATTATGCCGGAAATTCGAGGATCGATGCGTGGAAAACGAATCAGTCTAGGCGAACCTAACGGGACCAATCGAATGAAATGTACTAATGCGAGTACTGTATCTCCGCATTATCAAGAGATATATAATACCGTATGAAAATCACATAGGAAAAATACGATCAATCAGCTTTCGTTCATTTTCTAACTTTGTACCACTGACTGAAAAGAATTACAAATAAACGTACAATGTTTTGTAAGAAATAATATTAGCTATCCCCAGCCTACGGATACATATCTATACAAATTAATATTTTTATGAAGATAATTAAAAGAACGTAAGCCAGCTAGCAAATTGTTTCATAAATTGCATCAATGAGTACTATATTTCGAGTATTTCATATATTTTCTCATTTGAAGATATCTCATAAATGAGTAAAAATCCGCAGTTTAATTACTGATTATTTAACTACACGCTAATTTAATTAAATTAATATTAGTCTGTATAATTGACATTGATGATAAAAATGTTCAAGAGAAAACTAAAGAAAACTTAAAATTAAAGAAAACTTAAAAATTAATCTTCCATAGGACATGAAAAATATGACTTATCGTATTTCTCACCTGTGGTCTTCATACGGATTGCGATATAGTATACTCTAATTTGCTTTTGTATCTCCAATTTGGCAATTTTAATACAACAGAAGTTTCGATAAATAATTCCGGTCGAATAACGGTCGAGCGTTGCGAATAAACTCCTTCTTACCTACATCCGGCATTTCACGCAATATTGCTCGGACGGTTTTAATGGCCAGTTTCTTGTCGCATTTGTCGAATCTGGCCTCCTCCTCATAAATACTCCGTGCAAGTGCAGGGCTCATGTGACCTCTTGTGGTGTCCCACATGTACTCGCAATACTCAGACATCTTGCGGACCCGCCTTTCGCCTTACCACAGATCTGCAACAATCAATCGTAATCGAAACATCCGGTGAAAACGAAAGATCCTTTTGTTTAATATACATATACCATGGCGGACAAAAGAAAATTTATTAAATAAGAAATATAAAAGGATATCATAAGTTTTTTCTATATTGTTTTATTATTATATATGATATATTATTATATATGCCACAGAACAGACGAATGTTGCCAATATGGTAAAAAATTGTTAGTACAAAAGTGGCTAGACTCTATAGCGCATCAATGTTAAACTTTCTTTTATCCACTGCTGTATATATTTAGCTATTATACATGTACTATATTTATCGAATTTATTAAATTTACTGATTATATGCATATATATTTATTTAGCTGTCACTATATGTATACATATATGTCTGAGAAGATTGCGGAATCTTATCGATAAATTAACATTTACAGTTCCGCAACTTGTGAATATAAGAAATACACTTCGAGATATAAAAGCATAAGATACCGGCAAACGCATATATACGCGAGACATTCTGCACCATGGAACACTTGAAGAGACACTCCCTTAAAGTAAATGAAGTACCTTATGGAAATGAAATTTATCTCCATGCGTATTATATTTGCAGGATATTTATACAAAAATGATTGGTCAATGCAAACATTTGATACGTGGTCAATACGTGATCGATACGTGATCAATATATAATTCATACACTCACGTATGTAAAAATATACTCGAACTACGATAATTATGTTTGAAAAAGACAAGCACGTATAAGCGATGGCTAAAAATATATTCAACTGTCTTTTATTTAGGAATATTTTTGTAAAAATATCACTGTCTCAATTGTTTTTTATAATTTTATGTTTTGATTCTATAAAAAATGACAGATGAATCAACGCTTTAAGAAGACATCGAACGAGTCTAACTAGTAGCCGGAATGACTCATTTCTAGGTGAAACACCGTTGAGACGCAATACAGCTTGCAGGATAACCGCGACCGGTTCGTGTAACTGCTTATTGAGACTTTTACTTTGATCCAGCGAACTTCATAAAATCATTCAGCAATAACTAATTATTTCAGACTTACTTTTTGTAACGTGAATATTAATTCGAGCCATGAATCTATATTTTCAAGGTAAAAATTTCTAGGATACGAGATATTTCACTTTAAGAACGAAGAAACGAATTCGTATCAGCGTTATCGTAAAATTATTACTTTAAGTCGTTACTTAAGAATAATTTGCCGAGTCATGTAACTATTTTTTCGGTGAACGATTATTCACTGCATTGGCAATGTTTATGCAAATTTATGTTTTTATAATAAAAGTACAGAAATAAAACTTGAATTCTAGAGTTAGTCAATATTATATGTATGCGAAATACTACGTTCTTTACATCAATTTTATATCATATGTAGAAGATATTTTATATATATATAAACAAATATTATATAAAATCTAAAAATATAAAATAAAAAAATATAATAGTACCATATAATATACATTAAATATATATTTTTGTATATGACATGTATTTTTGCTCTTTTCACTTCTCAATATGTATATAAACATCCGTAGTTCAGCCATTATCCTTAATTTGATGCTTCAAACACAGTGCAAATTGAACATATGTCAACAAACATTTTTATAACTACTACATCTTATAAACTACGTTTATGACGGTCTATCAACGTCAATACTATTGTTTTTCGATATTTCTTTTTCCGACATAAAAACGTACACTTATATTAACCACAGATATGGTTTGTATATACATATAAATCGTTAAAATCTGTTGGAAACGTAATCCTCTTAATCGCAGTGCGTGTAATTACAGAGCACGGTGTAATTAAGTACAGGAACTTATTAAAAATGCTACGGAACGTTAATTTGGGCAAAATCAAAGAAGCTCAAAACCATTTAAAATTCATTAAGATAGCCATCATAGGTTATATCTAAGCCATTGCTTTGAACACGAAGCACTTACGAGATCTACTCGTGTACACCATTTTGTCATATGACATTTTCTCAGAAATTCACTTGATACATCGAATTGTAAAAAATAACCTGAAGATCATTCGAACAAATTAGAATCATGTATACTATAGAGGAAACTGTTCACACTAGGCGACCTGCGACATATGTAAATTGTTGTAAATCGTAACCAGCTTAATGGCATAGGTTATATTTTAATGCCGCACTTACATAAAATATTTGCAACAGTTGTAAAACACTTCACTGAAAATCACACTTCCTTCTTCTTTGTTTCTTTCTTATCACTGTCGGTATTGTTCACTGTCACACGAGGTATCTATGTGATTTCTACAAAATATACAGTTACACTGTGTCATGAATTATTTAAAAAAAATACTACACCTTTAATTTAACCGCTAATGTTAATCGTATTCTGCGTAAATTTGTAAACAAAAGAGACAAAGGACTCGTTCATCAGAGGAGCCTTGTTGCTCGAACGGTCACGAGCGAACGGCGCGCAATGAAGTCGCCTGTTGCGATTCGCTCGAAAGTGTTAGAGCATTGAGAAACAAAGGAGCGAGTGAGACTCTCAAGGAGAGACGCTTGCCTTATTGAAGGAAAAAGGAAAAGAATCGTCGGCGGTGTAACGATGTAACGATGGACTTGAGACGCACGGTTCAGAACCATGACTTGAACTTCTTAGAAACATAAAAATCCGCTATACATTTTCTTATTTTTTCAATGTACCAAAATAACGTTAAAAAATCTATCTTTAGACCATCGATATTTATATAATTTTGCAAAATATGATTTCGATCTTCCTGGAAACTTAGAAACACACTATATATTTTTAATTCTTAGTATCTTCATATTTTCATATATACAGGGTGAAACAAAAAAGAAAAAGAAACTCGTAACATCTAGAATAAACAAATGATGAAAAAGAGTTATATTGCGCATATAGGGTCGGAAATAGAACAGATTCAAAGTCAAATAATTCCTTGTTGCGTTTGAAGCGAATAACTTTCTCGCTTCAGAAGATATTGTACCGTACGGAAACAATGGATTTTATCTGCCTCGATACAAAATACCAGTGAAATGGTTAGAACACGTCCAGGGATCTTTGAAAGAGTACGCAATTCTTTGATACGAAAGTATCAACCGTGTGCAAAAATGGAAGGAAATCATGTACAAAACCTTCTATAAGCAAGAAAAGAAGAAATGATAAGGTAATCCATTGTTTCCATGCGGTACGATAGTTTCTACAGCGAGCAACTTTCTCGCTTCAACGGAAACAAAAATCTGTTTATAACTTTAGAACTCTTAATCTTTCTATCCATGTCTATTACGACCTTTTTCCATCGTTTGGTAAGTACGATCTACCTCAGAAGCTATGAACCCTTTATTTGCTTCACCTTGTATATTAAAACTTACATTTAAGCAAACTATCGTAAAAACTTTGACGTCATTAAACTTTCAAATTCACAACAGTTACAATTACTTTTTAGTATTATTCAAAGATTCAAATAACGTATAAATTAATTCGATCTCTTCTATTAACGATACGCTTAATAAAGAAGTAACAGAAAGCGAGGTACGGAATGAAATGGAACAAAAGATAATTCGAATTAAATGAATTGAAATTTTATTGATGTAACTAATAGAAAAAACATGACAGAGAAGAGGCGGTATATAGTAAAAAGGGCATGGGTAGTTAGAGAGAGACGAAAATAGCGTAGTTACGATCGAACGTGAAAAGGACAAGTATCGAGAGAAAGAGAAAAAGTGTAACCTGTGCTGAAATCAAACGGGAAGGAGAAAGGAGGGTTGCAACGTTAAAGAGAGACGAAGAGAGAACAGCGATAGAAAGGAAAAAGTAACGCGTGGAAAAGAGATGAAACATCGACAAAGAAGGAAAAGGATGACCGCTGAAGGTGGGAGTAGAAAAGATAGAGAGAAAGATGGACGAAGCCGGTTACCAGTGCGGCTGACTCACCGATCGTTCTCGTTGCGCTATCAGGTAAAACCGTTCCCCAAAAAATGCGAGCATCCAGTAGTAAAATATATAGAAAACGCTTACAAGGTGGAAAATTAAAATTCAATTACGTAATTTTGGTGGTTCAACGAAAATTGCACAATACATATGTCATTTTAAGTCTTTGCGCATAGTATGTGATCAGTGAATTCTTAAAGAAGTTTCGTAATACGTATATATACGTATTTTTATTACATTCTGACATTAATGGCAAAATTTTATTTGTATGGCAATTACTTTCAAAATAAGAAGTACATATTACTCGAAGATTAGAGTTGAGGTATTACTGTTAAATGAATTGTAATATGCAACAATTGTCTGTGGATGTTCTAGTGACGAGTCTGTTTAACCATTGCGCATCTGTAACGAGATAATCAGAAAAATTAATTGACCAGACGTCCCGAGCCGATTTTTGTCACGATACGGTCATATAGAACACGGTGAACTAATTTTATCTTTAATAAATCGTCTCGTATATTATTGAGAAAAGATTCGTTCGAAAATTTGTATTTTCAAGGAGCAGTCAAGATTTCGAAAATAACAAATGCATTGCTTCAAGAGAAGGGAAAATAAAATGTACTCAAAGTGTATCATTTTTGTACAGCTGTATAAACCTCATTCAGTGATTTGAGTAAATTTAAATAAAAAAAAAAAAAAAAAAGAAACGAGGGAAAACGGATCCGTAAAAATATCGTTGAAGAATTGCTGGTCACGGTTCACTTTGGTAATATCCTGTCGAGTCACGTAATCATATAAAATATCATGTTATGTTGTTTCCACGAACTTCCATCAGCTCGATTTTCTTTAAATATTTTTACACCGAAAATAAATAACATTATAATAAGGTCATTGCGAAATGTTGATCCTCGACACACAAAGATATACGTTCTCGATAATTTAAAAAAAAAAAAAATAAACAAATTCGTATACTGTCGTTATATTTTTGTAAGAATTCTGATGAGTCACGTTCGAGAGTCGCAAGATTGTTAATGAATTCATAAACATCCACGGCGATTAACAACCGATAATAATTGTTATTGGCACATGCACGATTGACATTTTGTGCAAAAGAGATATACACGATAAAGATTTTCGTAAGTACGCAGCGTCCTCTCAGAACAAGCGACTGGACGATTAAAGTCCTATTGTATATCCGATAAAGGAAAATCTTGTTTTATAGCGCGAAACCATTCAATTCTTCCATCGATCGATTCCCTCAAGGACGAGAACTGCCGGTATCGTACTTTAGATTAAACACTATGACCCGCGATCATTTTGTCGAAGCTATTATACAATATTGATTACACAACTTAATTCGCAATTAAAAGAACGCGAGCTTTCAAGTTCTACAGAAATACAAATATTTGTGTAGAAAATTGCCTGATTAAATGCATAGTGTTTTTCAACTACTCGGTGAAATTTAATATAATAATCTATAAGCTGAGGAACTTATGTATTAATATTTTGATTATTAAGCAAAAATATCAATTCTATATATGGAAGAATAGGAATTCTGTGCAATATGTTGTAGTAATAATGAAAAAGTTTTGTAACAATAAAGATTAATGGTCCTCCAATGCATCACTGCCACGTCCAATTGAGTTCAATAAACTTTGACATCCCCTAAGTACGCGTAGCAGTTTATATCGAACTGCACTACACATGTTGTATAAATCCTCTTTATAGCCATATGACTCTTTATAAGGAGCTTGTTTAGGTTTAATAGAAAGAAAAGATTCTCTTTATAAGATTAATAATAACTTAAGGTTGAATGAATTTGAATGATGTACAAACTCAAATTATTTAAGTGCAAATTACGAATAGATAACCTCAAATATCAATGAACCGCTGTGAAATCTGACTGCTATGTCTCAATGTATATTTTTAATCAACAATCACGGAGTTTTGAAACTACGACACATATAAATTACCAATTTTTTGCGGTGCATGGCGGGCTTGTCTGCACTCGAAGGACGAAAACAGATCTGTTCGTGTAACGCCGCCATACATTACGCAACATAACGGTAGAAGCGTAGCAGAGAAGAAGACAGAAGTTACCGGTTTCTTTTAATGTTGTAAAAGGTAGCCGCAACCCATTTTCTCGAGGTTTTGATATCTTAGTGCAATCAGATTTCAATATTACGGTCCACTTCTGACACAACAAGCATTAAAACGTTAACTCTGGTGAGCGGATATAAAAGAGTACAAGTTAAATTTTGGTCAACTGAATAAGTACGCTAATATTTTCTACATTTCTTCTTTTGTTTATGGTTCTAATAGTACAAGTCAATTTCACTTCTTTCCCGTTTCTTTACCTGAAATTCTAATAGTATATAAAAAATCTAATACCTGATTCTACATTATGTTTTAAATATTATAAGTGCTTTTCTGCAAAGCTAATACATCATTCTGATTTACACCCTTTTACCTGCCCACCAGAGATTGATTCTATTCAGTATTTTCTAATTTTTATTTGACAGTACTATTCTAATATGAAAATAATTTTTAAGTACCAATATTTATTAAATTCTTCTCTATGTTTAGATTATTATTTATCTTCACATTACATTGCATATAAGTCTTATGGCTAGTTCTGAATGAACATAGATGGCACGTCATAGATGCAGGTGTAGATACATCGATGACTTTCTTTTGTATTACGGGTTGAAGGAAATACAAAATAATCAAATTGTAATTTGCACCGTCTATATTTACGTATACCTTAATTATGTGTACCTATATTACTTTCTTTCTTTCGGCAGAGGGACTGATTATCGTGTAGAAAAGACTTACGAGAAACTAAACTATTACGTATCATATAGCAACGTAGTCTTACTAATTGGTGCCTATCGTTCCACGAGAAAGATAGTATGTTACAATAAATCATGGTTCCGTAAACATATCCTACAAGCGATACGAAAGAAATCTATATAAAAAATATTATATATATATATATATGAATAAATTTGTCTTTTTCTTATATGATACGATTTATCTACCCTTTAATCTAATTTTCTTCGTATGATACAAAATAAATTGAATTAAAATTAATGATCTATAAAAAATTTAAACAATAATAATTTAGATATTGTTTCAATAAATGTTAAAGATTTGATGAATCCTGACGGTGACAAAAAACAAGATATAAGAAAATCTATTTCCTGCTCAGCATGGAGCCATAAGTATGTTCATATGTATAGTACATAGTTACCTGTTTATGCTACGTCAACAGTACAGTTTTGTATCGAAAGCTGTAACCACAATTGACACATTGAATTTAACCACTGCATCAGGCGAACGAAAAAATGCCTGCTGTCGTTCACACGCAACTGCACATGCGGACGATTCTTCGAAACTGCGAGACACAAAGAACAATACTTCCGGAAGGTAGCAGGTGAACAGTCTACCTGCGGCGCGAAACTGTCTGTTCGAAACTCTTAGTTAACCAATTCGTTCGTGAGCCCCCTATGGACTCTACCGTTACTAACAGCTGCTAACAGGAACGTTCTGTATTCTAGGTAAAAATTCTTCTAAAAATGTAACTAAAAACTGTATCTTATTTAATAATACTTTATGAAATCTGATTTAGTAGATTTTCGTAATAAATTAAATCACTAATAATATAAATTAAATCTCTAATAATCTAAATTAAATTATTTCAGTGATTGTATTTTTCTTATTGATTGTTGCGACTAAACTTTATTTGGAACCATTGTATGAAATGTAATTTATTAAATTTTCATTAGAAATTCAAAAAAACTAGATTATGTTTGCGATGATATAAATAATATTATCTGAGTGTATACTTTTTAGTGACGGTTATAATTTTGTTAGAATAACAAGAAATATTGTTTACTTTATAATACAAATGGTTTTAACACATCAACAAAAATCTTGTAGTTTTGTACAATTGAGTGGTCATTCTTTTTAGTTGGTTTGATTGCCGTATGAGGTCACTATTGAGAATTTAATGATATATGACGTATTGCTACTGGTATAGATCCTGTACCTAGTCAGTGATACTGCTTAGTTATATTGTTTAATCAGGGAGCTAATATTTATCAAAATACAGACGCACACAATGTATCACCTTATTGATTTTTACATACTTATGAAAATTAGTGTTAATATGACCATTAGTAAATATTATATTAGTGTTTATAATGAATATAAATTATTTTTTACATATGATTATGTTGAGACGGTATTACTAGATAGATGAGTAAAATTCAATGCTACTTTTTATGCTGAAATTAAATAACATTTATTCCCTAACAGAACTTACTATAAAATCTAATTAACACTACAATTATAAATTACTTCTATTACTGCGACTAACTACTACACTACAATAGTCACGAGGATGTCTATCTCACTACGCCTGATATTAAACTCTTCCTGTGTTCCGATTTGGGGGTGTATTTATGCCGTGAGCAGAAATACACTTGCTGACAAAAGTTAAAAGAGATTATTATATACCTTCTTAGATATATTAGATGAAATGAAAAATATTGTAAAAAAGTAACAGTACACACATGAAGTCTTTTTTCGACTATATTCGTGTAAGATGTAAATTAATATTAAATCGGGTAAACAAAATAGAACTTTGTGACAAAAGATGAGAAACATTGATTGAATCATATAGCCACTTTCAACAAAAACTAAATAAAAAATAAAATATTGGGGAACATGCGATACATATCAAGATGAAAAATATACAGTAATTTTCAAGCGATCATTATGTTCGTAACCTTTGTCGATAAGTGTATATCTGTGACTTTACACGCGGTGACATTATCTTTTATCTTTTTGAGTCATAAGATTTTAAAGAAAATAAAAACCTAAGTTGCACGGAAAGGAATGCGATAGGTGGGATATATACAGCTCCAAAATTAGTATAAAACATCATAAAAAATAATATGTTTTTTTTTATTATAAAATAATTTATTCGCTCATAATAAATTTTAAGGAACGAAACAACATATACTATTATGGAAGACAAAAATTCACTGCACCATACAATTCGCTAACCTCAATCACAACAGTGTCAACAACCTACTAATGCGTTTCGACTATATATTTACACATTTACCGTTGGTTCATAGCCTTGCCAACTGAACGAAGAACTTAACTTAACTTAACTTAAGAAATAAAATATTAAATTATATGACTATAAGTAACTTTAATTTTTCGAGATGGGATAAAATGTATCCCATCATGCAAAAAGGGTGAGGCGATCTTTAACCCACCTATCTGCAAGGAGTTAACTATGCGGAAAATTGTGAACTTTTTGAAAATTTGCGAATGTACGCTTTTGCCATTTGCATAGATTATAGATAAATATATAGATATATAGATAGAAAATAAATGATGAAACAAAATCAAACGTATTTCATATCTGCAAATACAAATAACACTTTAAAATAATTAAACAAGAATTTGAACTTTGACCGTCATACACATTTGATCCTTTTTTTTGTTTGCATTTATAATTTACAATATTAATCATGTTTACATTAAGAGCTTTCTGGTTTAGTAAGATTATACTAATAAACTTCTGATAACTAATCATTTAAATTGACCATCCAGACATAGTAAACAGTAAATATACGATAATAAAATCGAAACGAGACGAAACGTCATAACGTTCATTATCGTTTACGATTCAAACGCTAAATGTCATCAATCAATATTTTTATATATAGTGGGTCAAATTAATACTCAGTCACTTTTTAAAACAGACTAACTTTTTTAAAATTTAACGAATCGAAATCTGTTGATGCAGAGGCAAGCGATAAGCGTCGTAACATGTACGAATCTTTCAGAATCTTTCAGAAAAAAATCATCTAGACGATGAATATAACTGTTAATATAATGTTAAAAATCCTGGGATATTGATCATAATATTGATCTGAACGCCCCTTTAGATTTATTACAGTTACAGGTTGAAAGTCGTAAACAACTATGATTTTCAGTATTTTCAACCGTTTGTAGTTCATAGTAACGTGGATCTGGTTTCGATAAAATTTTCCGATAAAAGCATAGTTTAAATTTTCATTACAGGCTCAAATAAAAACATTGTAAAAAGCGATTTCCACTATTTTCTTTGCGATTCGGCTAATTGTCATTTTTTCAACATTTTGTTTACACATCATCTAGTGAACCAATTCGTTTAAGTTCTTAAATAAATTTACATCGTTTTATACGATAAAAAAATTTATCCTGTTTTAAAGCGCAGCAAACATTAATATAAGTCATGTGTTGACGACAGATTCGTTAAATAGAATATAAACTACTTAATTAGTCAAATGAATTTGTACATACAAAGTCTATTCGCCCTTTTTCGCGATACTAGCGCCACGGTATCACACGTTTTTTTATCAGTTTTCGCGAATATTACCTGCAAGTTACTAAGAATTCCTATAATTGAGATAAAGACAATGTGTTATTAAAGCTATCTTGAAATCAGATATATCTACCTAGTGTTTGAGCACAACGGCGACGAATTAGCTGACTTCTTTGTTTTATCTATTGCTCCCCATTCAGTTAAGACTCAACGAATGGTGGAGCACAGTTAACTGTCAGTCCGTGACTGACTTTCCGTTGAAATCGATGTGCGTGCTTCGTGAATTCACAAGACTGGCCTGTGATTCAGTTGGTTGTACCGTATCTCATTGTACGTATCTCGATCAATCTACATATCGACAAACCTACTTCTCCTAAATTTTCAATTTCATCATTCGGCATAATTTCATAAATTAAATAGAATTAGATCTTCCAACGTTCTTCAGTCATCCGTCAAGGTAGGTTTAAAAATAATTAAAAGTAAGATAAGTCGTTGCTCTAGTTCTCAACTGTCCTATCTCCATTAGTTCGTAAACCGAAGAAACTGAGTTTAAAATCTATAAGGAATTTGATATTATTGCGTGGAAGTAGGACTTAAAAGAACTAAATATTTGTTGCTTTCTAGGTAGAATTTTCGTCATGTTATCATGTATTTGTATCTTTATATCAATTAGACGTATGTGGATTGATTAATTATATGTTTCTAAGAAATGAAGTTAAGAGGAACAGTTGAGAACTAGGGCCACAAAGTGTCAATTGTTTAAATAGGAATGCAGAAATGAAGGGGAATACTATTCTAACGTAAGAAATGAATTAGAGGAAATAGAAGACGAATGATATGATTTATAATATGATTGAAATACAAATGAAACGAGAAACCTTTTTAAGTAAAAGTCGTTGATTTTAGATTGTTATTGAGTGAATTAAGGGTGATTAGAAATATATAATATATTTGAAATGAGAATGAACTGAGAAATTATTTAAAATAAAAATTATCGATTTTAAGAAATATTAAATGAAGGGTTAAGCGGAATGCAATAAAATAAGCGCGAAAGAACTTGTTTAATATAACAGTTGTTAAATTAATATCGTTGAGAATATTATACTGAAGCTGGACACCGCGCTGCTGCGGCTAATAATATTGGAAATAATTACTTTCTCAGATGATCGAGGAGTGTATTTTTTAAAAGATAGAGAATTTTTTGCGTGCAATTTTACTTCACTTATATTTTAATGGGATAAGCGAAATCGGATCCTCTGAAAAACAGATCGAAGCAGTTTATTTAACGGGATAACTGCATTCTCATTCTAAAAAACGTAACTCACATTCACAATAGACTTAATCAGTTTCAGGAATGATCGAAAAATTGATCGGTTACATTAGAAACTAAACTCACTTCTTTTTTTTAAATGAGTTTACAATACTCTAGACTGTGAATTTCGTAAGTGCAATTCTTCTTTTTAATAAAATAAACTTTTCTGTAAATCTATGGTGCTATATGCACGTAGAACCATACAAATACGGAATGTAATTTGCGGGCAAGTAATTAAATTTCTGAAATTTTCCATTTCGTCGATATAGGAATAGAAAAACTCGTCGTTCTTTGAAAACCATTGTATAATTATCAGCTAACACTAGCAACAAAAAAAGTGGTAGTGCAACTTCTGGAACAATTTGCACAATTTAACATACACTTGGTATTAGGAGTGTTTATTCTCTAGAATGACCTCGAATTATTCTTTTTTCAAATCATCATATTTAACAATTTGTACAGAAAATGAAGTACGAAATAATTTAAATATTTCGCGACGAAAGAAGAGTAGTGTTCCAGCGTAAATGTTTCACTGAAATTGATCCTCGCACGAAAACATTCTCTGCAAACCTGTTTTTCTGGTCATTCCAGAATATCTCATTTTTCACCTCGTTCATTTTTCGAATCAAATAATCGCGTTATTTATTACTACGATGTTTGTTATTTTCACATTAATTCTGTAACGTTTCATTTTCCTATGAAAGAAATTATTTAAAGATGCAATACCTTATCTTCCATACACAAAATTATTTCGCTAATTATTCATTATTTATATATTTTGTTTTTCATCACTATGATAGCTAAATTTACCATACTTTATTTGAAGATTTCACTTATATTATGTCTTATAATTATACTTGTACCAGATCCTTAATGATGAATATGTTATGAATTTGTAAAATATAATAAACGTAAGGAAAGCAGCTATATGAATTTCGTAAGGAATATTATACAAACCGGAAGCCTCTCGCAGACGAAAGACAAGAGGTAATAAATACAATAAATACAATACATTATTTGTATGTATAAGAGAAATATCTTTTTGGTAGTATATAGTGCATTCACGTTCATCTTGATGACTCTTCATTTTGTCAATTTAATTACTGTTATTATGAAGGATCGGAAACTGACAATTTTCTGGACTATAATACCAGAGGAGTCGATATTTTGAACCAAGTTGAACTCGGATTTCAATCATTTATCTGGAAGTTGATAAGAAATAAGTGCCATCTCGCCGAACAAGCTTATATAATATTTTATTATATACCTATTTAATAATATTTCGTAAAAGTTAAAAAATGAACATTCGAAAAAAATATTTAATAGTTATTATATCTATTTGTTATATTATATATATTTATTAATATATTTATTGATATAGGAATGGTTATTATATGTAAATGTGTTCTTGCTTCCATTACTATGATATTTGACATACTTATTGTTTGCAATTTTTTTTCTAAGATGCATTTAAGATGCAAAAGTGCACAAAATGCGTATGTGCAATATACAATACTAAACTATTTATAATAATATGGAGCACTGGATATAGTTCACAATGGATGTCTTAAATCAATCTTTGTAAGAAATGCATACTGGAAATAAAACTTAGCAGTAAACAAGAGTATGGTACTAGAGTATGCATAATTACCATGTAATTGAAACGTATCCCGCATCGTCATCTGTGGTGCAATACATAATATCTATACTGCTCAAGTCTCTTTAGCTGCGGAATTTTACAAGAGCAGTTATATGATCGTTATCAATATCGAATTCTTATGTAATAAACATTTTTCTTTTATAACGATATATCCAGTCGTATACTAAGAAATATATAATTAAGCTTCGCATTGACGTTTAAATATTAATTCCCTGTAAAAAAACAATATCGTGACCTATTCGTCGATTAGGATCTCCATGATGTATTCATGAAGTTGTTTCTTCCAATTTAGATTAGATATAAAGCTTAATGGAATTGTAAAATTGAAAATTGTAAAAAAAATGACATTTCTTTTTAATATTTTATTTATTCAGTATAGAATTTAGTAACGTTTCCTTTTAATATTAGAAAATCTTTTAAAAATCTAAATAATGTTTAACAAAGTTGAGTTTCTTTAAAAGAAGCAACACATTAATTATTTATTCTTCAGCTTACTTTTGGTATAATTACTGAAGCTATTTTTATTAAATATGAAGCACTGTGTTTATTTCTTATATATTGATAAATAATGTATTATTTAATGTTATGTAATCCGAATTACGTATATGTCGATACCGTTTAAAATTATTGAATTATTGAATTATTGAATTTTGTCTATTATCGTTTCCATTTTTATTGTTTGCTATTTAAATAAAAATTATTTATCACAATATAATGCTATTCAGGTTAATATAATACTTTCGTGAAGACACAAAAATCTTACAGTAAGAAAATAATAAAATAAAAATAAAAAAGATTTTTTCGTATAAACTTAGTCAATAATACAAGGTCGCATCCCATCTGTCAATCGTTAGTTGAACCTAACCTGTATGTCATAGGTATCAGGTAAGGATTATGCGTCAGTTGTAGCAAATTTCACGGAAAAATCATTTCTATAAAAAAGAAACAATATTAAGGTACGTGTCGATTTGGAAATTTCTTCCGATAGTTGTTCTCGAGAGTACTCTTAAATTGTCTGTCTATCTGAAAGCAAGTTCGAAAATTAATACCCTCGAACTTACTAGAAAAACTCACCGAAAGCTTACTATCTGTAATGTTCATTATTTAGAAGGGATTTTCGAATTGAAGATGATACCAAGATGTTTTGCAATTTTGTACAAATGAACGCAACAGAAATTCAGTGTATAATTGAACCAGTTCCTTTTATTTACAATTAACCACCGATGCCTTCATGTGTGACGATCTTGTGATATTTATTGCGAGAGCTGGAATTAAAAATTTCGAAATCCCAAAATAGATCCAATTTGAAGTTCATTTTTTTATCGGATCGCTGCTACTTCTTCTTTTTTGTATTTTTTCTTTTTTTGGGTTCTTGTGTCACTTGTAATTTTGATATTCTGATAATATTTGTATATTTCGTTCTATTACATACTTGATTACACTTCACTTACCTGGTTTCTCGTGTTATGAATTGTCGTGATATACTACTTTTAAAATATGAAATTGTTTCGCATTGTACCAGTAGCTCTTCGATCATGGTCTATTCGAGAGTAAGCTATCTCATCCCTCTGAAACAGTTACTCTCAAACGCTGAAGAAATACTCTCGACAGCAACTTGCAATAGTTTAATTCTCAACCGGACACCTACTTTTCTGGATAGCTCAATTAGTAAAATACCCGCTTGGCAAGTAGAAGATTCCGATTCAAAATTTTCCTCCCTATGTAATTTTTGAACCGCTAGACTCCTAATGACTTACATTTTTGAACTACCATAATGTATAAAAAGTCTATAATGTAAACCCCTAAAGCAAAATTTTATCTTTTTATCAGGATTTTAGGAAAATGTTCACAATAAATCAGCTACACCATATTTCATCGTGTCTGATGTACACGTTTACGACATACAGAGGGTTTTTGATTACGATACCTCTGCTTAAACCCCCACGTGGTGACTTCAATCCAGGACAACTTAGGTTCTTGACTGTATGGAACCTGGTAAGTTGCATATTTTTAATATTAATAAAATCGTATTTCGTTCGAAACATTTATAATTCTTTTATTCGTCATTATATTTTGTTTTCTATTGTTCATCATATCTTATGGTTCACGATATGTAACAAGTGTCGACAGATATAATTAATATAAATTCCAAAAATGTTATGTTATGAAAAATATTGGCAGCAAAGAATATAAAACAATTGCTAACTTAGATGATATGACATACTTCTTAATTAAATACCAAGGTTGTTAAGCATATAGATGTATTTTTAAGATATTTAAGATTATATTTTGGTCAATACCGAAATTCAAATACACGTTGTGCACGAAATCGTTAAGCTAGCCCAACAGTCATTTATAAACAGAAAATAAGCGGCCAGCAACCGGCAAGCAATATTAACGTATACACTGACATACAACTGTAGGCAAAATTCACTGTAGTACCGGTAGTTCTTGGCGAATATCTTGGAAACTAAGCAAATCCACTTTTTCTATGTATAGGAAAAATTCAAAATATCGATTTCTACAACATATCTAAAAATCATCGAGACCGGAGGGTAGTTAGTTTTCCTACAGTTTCATCTAAATATCATTCACTCTGAACGATGTATTTATAGGTTTATGTAAACGTTTAGACAAACGCTAATAAATTTATATCGACGCACTTGTGTCAGCTAAATAAATACAGTAATATTGCGTTTCACATTTTACAACATGATGGAGCGTCAATAAATGACTTTATACTGAAACTAAATATGAAACCTTGACGTTACGTTTATACTCCAAAATTCTTAATCTTATACTAGTTACGCACAGTCATTATTTAATAGCCTTTTTCACATTTCCTTTACTCTCGCTTTCCTACTTCGTACAACGTCTCGATGCCAATACTCAAGCACGATTTGCTCTCCGCGTCTACCTCGTGTTTCTGTACACATGCGCGTTGCAGCGGCTCATTGTGTGTGTGTGTGTGTGTGAATCTGAACTTCTTCCCCATATTAAGATCGTTAAGCCGGTTTCACGCGACGATACGTGTACCGCAAAATACGTACCGCAATATACGCATGAGATATATTTCCAGAAATAAAATATGCAGTATCGTTTATTCTTGAGTGAATCATCTGTATAGATCGTTCTTTGATCTGTAGAAAAGTATCGCCAGTGATCAAGTTTCTCAAGATGCACGAAATCAGTACCGCCAAATAGTGTAGTCTATCCAACGTGACGGGACAATGAATGTGAACTAAATTTGATTACTGCGGTTGCAACTATTGGCTGCCGACTAGTGACATTCGAAAGTCGACTGTCTCGCCTCGTTAGATATACTATAGCATATCCACATTTCATACACGTATCATCGTGTGAAATCGGCCTTATAGCACAGGGGCTGGTTGCCTCTATTCGCTATTGCCAATACGTCATAACCTATGCATGCCTCTGACACCGTTACGTAAGTATATATAGCTTAGTATAGCGTACATATAAAGCACAATCGTATATATAGATTCTGAAAGTCCCATGATAGAGCCACTTCCAGTCATAGTATAGTATAAAGGTGTTCGAACACCCCTCAGGCGATTTGTGACTATTTCCTGATAGTTCTCTGACAACCTGTAGATTGCGTCAAAGTAAAAAATCTGGTAACTGTGCATAGAAGGATAGAGCTCAGCGATTTTGATCAAATTTAAATACATTGTGAAACTAAAAAAACTAAACACATTTTCGACGAATTCACCCGTTATAGATCGTTTGCTGGCTGTCGCGCCGTGATGTGTATGTGCCATTGATGTGCACGTACAGACAAAATTCAATGTCTAATAGCAACAGTTTTTCACCAATATCTCGAAAACTATGACTGAGCGGCGGTTACATATTATATATAAAATCTTCACCCTGATACATATTTAAATTTCATTAAAATCGATGAAATGTATCCCTTTATATACAATTACCGAAAATCCAAGTTTCTCTGATTTTTTGCTATAATACCATCAGTAAAATCTGTATTACACTTTTTAACAACTTCCTTTTAACAACGATGTCTCTTGCGACGGTCAAGGGAACTACTCAGTAATCGTCACAAAGCGCTAATAGGATAGAGGTACTTCGTCAAAACATCATTTTACAATTTCTCCTCTCTAATATTACACAGGTTACCTACACCGTGTTTACAGCACAAACGAGACATGAGAATCTCATTATTTAATATCTAAAATTGTTTACGATACAAAAAATATATGCTGTTCTTGCCGATATTGCTGTTCTTGTATTGGGAACCTAACTCTACCAGTTTCACAATCTGTACTTTATATCGTATATACAATGAATGGTACATATAGCAAGTGTAAAATAACATGCTTCCTTGATGTTTGTTTGAATAACAAACTTCTCATAATATCCATTGTTTTAAAAACATGGTTTCATTAATCAAACAAGGTTGCGATACATAACGAATATTCCATAAATAAAATATATCTACAGTCAGAGAATAGCTAATGTTAATTCTTTTACAAAATTGTGTAACAATATCTTGTAAAAATTACCAAAATGAAGGTACATATTATTATACAATACAATCGCAATGGTTGTCTACCCGTATAAAGTATCCAATTTAGAACGAAAAATTTCTACTTATACTATTGATTACGTACAATCGATAAAACGAAGTATTCGTATTTTATCTTTTAACAAGGTCAACAAATATTTACGTATCTCAACTTGATTAGTGAGTTATGAAATGCTATTTCTAAAAAAATATACATGTGATTTACTCGAAATATGATATTATTTAAATTCATAATACTTTCTCCTTTTTAATAAAAATAAAATCTGGAACCACCACTATACAAAAGTCTGTTTAAATTTAGCGTGTACATAATAGAAATCAGCGTATCACTCGAGCATAGATGCAGTATAAAATCGTGAATGGTAGTAGGAAGTGAAAAATCACGTAACGTGTTATGGTAATCATGTTTCTCCAGTCTTGGGATCCAATCCTTTATTTATTCTTATATAAATACGTAACTCGTCTCAATAAAATGATATCGAACTTTCAAACAGAAAAAGCTTTAAAAGTCGAAAGAAGTTTTTCGTGTATCACGATGATAATTATAAAATTTCTCTAAATAATTACGAAATCTATATTTATCTTAAATTATATTTTTCAGTATAGATCCACAGATTAAAATAACTAATGTTCATCGGGCATTAAACTTAAAAGAAAGAAACATGATATTCTTCAAAACAGGTCGGGAAACGATTTTTGTCAGCAAAAGCTCGTGCGCATTCTGTTCGCGCAGAGAAAGAGCAACAAGAACAGCAGCACTTTTTATCTCTGTCTTCTAATGGCGCTTCTCTATTTCGTACACGCCCCGTTCCTTTTTTTATGTCCTATTTTCGTACTATATTATGTACTTTATATGTATTTGGCTTTCGAAATCAATGCGCATTTTGATTGAGAAAAATAAAATAATGACTGTAGATGTGCTACTCGTACACATTTAGACAATGTATTAATTCTGTTAGTAATAGAAACAACACGTATCTGTCTATACGATCGCATACAATGTCGTCAATTTCTTTCTTGCCTTATATATGTATATACAGGTTCTTTTTTATCTTTCTGATCATTTTGCGTATCCATTTTATATGCAAGTTTTATTTACTTTTAACCTGTGAATTTTAACCTGTGCACCATAGTATCTAATTCTCTCCAGATGAAACCATACGCACATGGTGAACTGGCTATTTCTCTCTTTCTCACAATCCTCATACTGTATTTTCATCTATCCGTCAGTCAGTACGTTGCAGACCGTCGACGCGGTCGATACTATTGAGTGCGGTTTGAGAAAGCCGAAGTTTCCAATTTTTGCTATTAAAAAAAAAGATAATTAGAAAATATTTAAGTAATACAGAATGTTTACTTTGCAATAACTTCAACTTCTTAGTTATTTCCGTTTTATTAAGTGAGGTTAATATTTTATCTATTTTTGTGCAATTATATAGATAGCTACAATTATCCTTTTCTTTGCTATCATCAACAATCTGTGCATCGTTTATTTTGCATCGTTAGTTTTTTGTTTTGTTTTTGTGAATTGTGTAGCTGGATGATCTTAGAATCACAAAGTAAATGTCAGTGATTTCAACAAGCGTATTATTTACAGTACATTGTTTTTTAAGATTAGAAATATTATAAATTTCTTTTTATATAGAAACGCTATTTTTATTCCCACGATTATTTTTTACTGTAATGAAATCAATTGCAAAAAGCACGTGTTATTGTAGAGCAATCTGCTTTATTTTTAATAATTTAAATTTCAATGTTATGCTCAATCCGTTACCTGGAATCTAATACACGATACTATATATAATATAGTAGATAAAGTTAGCAAGACAAAGTAAATAATTGTTTGAAATGTTATATACCATTACAATACCACTTTATTACGTGCTATTTACGTAATTCGAGAGTAAACTGTCTTATGTAATTCATAGTTGAACACAATATTATAGTTCCTTATATATCTTTCTTTAATCGGCTATATAAGTACATTACATATATACTATATACAGTATACATACAACAAGAAAATGTAATTACTAAAGAAATAAATTTCTTGTTAACGTAATATGTAATATGTAATTTAGTTAATATGTTATACAAAAGGAAAGAAACGATATCTTTTTTTGTACATCTTTATCCATTTCTTTCAATTTTCATAAACTATTTCATAAATTTAGAACAAACGTTATTAATACAGAATAGATAAAGTTGCGATGGTTTTAGTTTGTAACTTAAAAAAAAGGCTTCTATTATAAAAATAGAGAATCCAATAATGCACCCATTTTGCACGACATAAGAAACGTTTGTTGAAAGAGTGAATGCACATAGAAAAGATGAATAATTCTTTTATCAATTTATTCCTGTGTGATTGGTCGAATACGATCGCCATCATGGAAATCTATCAAAGCGTTTCAGATCACAAAAAAACTGTATGTGAAATAACTACGAGATGCAGGAAGGCCTACTAATTGGATTTCACATGATCTCCTGCGTGCAATTCGCGTTCTCCGTGTATTATGATTACATGTACACTATTGTCCCTCCGAATCTTCTCAAAATGCACAACAGCTATGGCGGGAAATTCAAGTTCCTCACTTTCTGGGACGCGGTTAGTATCGTGATAATCAATGAACTCTTTTTTGGTCTCTTGATCTCAATGGTCTCTTTTTCACATGTAATTAGATTATTTTCCTAATCCACCTTACATAACCACTTACGATCCTATTAAAAATACTAGCCTAATAATTATTTATCAAATAAAACTGATGATGTAATAAACATCACTGATCAAAATGGTACTTACAATTATAGAATGTCAATTGACTTAAAATAATTGTTAATTATTAGAAAACAATTATGGGTATACTATTTTCCAGGCATGTTCCACATAAATACTTGTAAGATTCGTTTACATCAAGTAAACTAAAATTGCGTGATGATTTTAATCTTATTTCACATTTTCATTATTATGCAATACTGAAAACACAAAAGAAGACGTAAGAATACGATATTGTATTGTATGCATATCGCGTTCGCAAAAATGAAAACAGTCGAAATTACAGTAAAATACAGTGATCTTTTTGGAGATTGAATAAATATTTAATTATACTTATTGATTTCTCAAAATTGTAATAAAAAATTAATTTATACATCAAAGTGATTTACAAATCAAATATTTTAATTGTTTAGATAACAAAAAGAGTAGTCGTGAATAATAATATCATAGTATAATAATATCTCCAACGAGGCAGTGTAAGTAAAGAAAGTTTTACTGTTGTGACTGCAATATTGGCAATAGCAATAAACTATTGTTTACATTTATTGCTTCATCTCGTTGGACGGACTATAGGGACATCACAATACTCCATATATACATCATGATATTTATATATTTATCGAACTAATGTCTAAGCTGGGAAAATAAATTTTTCATAATCTTTTGCTACCACTGAACGATTTCGTATGATCATTTCACGTTGATATTACAAATTATGAAGCTCGGATAACAACAAAACTCAATTGTTCGAGTACCACTCCATATTATCTCCGAATTACAGCACGTGTCATGTCATGTTATTTATATGCAGCCAAGTGACTATCATTGCATGATCTGAAGTATCCATACAAGACAATTGTTTTATTAGTATTTAATTGCTGTCAATACTTCTCGGTATAATTCATTACAGTAAAACTTTTATTAAACATTTTATATGTTACGATGTTACATACAACTACGTATATATATAATTTTTTATTCATATATAATGTAGGTTTAAATATTCATCACCGTTCATATTGCTAATACATTGCGGATGTTTATGAGTTCATGAAAAATTAAAAATTCCATAAAATACATTTACATAATAGACACGCATGCATATAGAAATACAAAGAATATCCAAAGTACAGCACAATAATCATAATGAAAAACGGCAAGTGTTTGGTTAGATTCTATCTTTTTGGTTCTGTCTCTAAATGTTTAAATTTACATAAATAATGTGTTGCTACATTATTCATTTTAGAGTACTTAAATTAGACATGATATGCGAATACGTTTATAATAAAATAATTAGAGAATAAAAACAGCGGAAAAATTTCACTTTATACTAGATACATATGTGTAATCGGCAAATTACAAATTCTAGGTTATAGGTCTCCTTTTTTACAATTTTACGTTAAATAGAATAATGAAATGACATAATTTATGCAATATATTTATGTATGTATGCAAATTTTATTTGTTTTTTTATCAAATTTATTACAGTTATGTTAATTATTGAGATCTTTTAGTCGCTTTTTGCATTATTCTTCTTATTACTATCGAAGACATGATGTTTGTTTAATTACAAAGGAGATACGACATTATATCCTTGTACTGCAATTTCGACATTACGTCTTAAGTTTCACTGAAGAAATCTATTTTCTGTACAAAATTATCTTTTAAACTAATTATCAATATCTTTTAAACTTTTACTTATTAGTTACATAAATCGCAACAAGTAAACCGGTAAAAAATATTTTAAATAATTTTTACAGAAAAGTACAATACCATATATTCGAGTTTTTCTAATTATTAATCTAAACAGTAGAAATTAAGTGTGTAATCATTCATTGTTTCAGATCATTCAAGCGATATTTTTCTTCATATGTATTCTGAATGATTGGTTCGGCACAAATGCAGTTAGTCCTAAGAAGCCACCATTCATACGTAAATTAAAGGATCATGTACATGCGATCCTCGGTTTTCCGATCGCCATGGTAAATCAAAAAAAAGACAAAAACTACAAAATTTTTACTTTTAGTAAAAAGTTAAAAATTCAAGTTTCATACATTTTCGTATGATTTTCTCGGATTATAGTTCGTTGGAATAATATTCTGGACTTTAATGTTTGTGGATCGCGAATTGGTGCTTCCAAAGGCGCTGGATCCTTACTTTCCATGGTGGCTCAATCATTTGATGCACACAATGATCATGGTTTCCACGCTAATAGAAATGATGATAACCCCGAGAAAATATCCAAGGAAATCATTTGGCCTTTTGTGTTTATTATCCTTCATGATTGTATATTTAATTTGGTACGTTGACAGTATAAAAAAAAAAAAAAAAATATAAAAATTATAAGAGAATATCATGCCTTTGGTCAACTGTCATATTTTGCTTTTAAACTTTGATTAAAATTTTGATTAGGATTTTAAAATTATAAGTAAATATAAAGTAGACTTAATATATAGTAACGTGAAGTATAATATAAAGTAAAAGATTTATTATTAAGTTAATTACGTAAATTATTACTATTTTCAGGGTGCATATAATTTTCTATAAGAGCGGTATCTGGGTGTACCCAGTACTAGATGTGTTGCCGCTGCCGTTACGAGTTGTATTCTTCTTTGTAATGCTTTTAATCACCTTATTCTTGTATTTGATCGGCGAAGCAGTGGACAACTTCCTTTGGGGTAACGAATATACTAAAAGTAAAAAATCTTATGCCAAGAGCAAATAGCCTCGCCCATGGTGATTAGCTGCGCTGACCTCGGTCATACATTAGCCTCCTCTAAGGTGGTGGTAAATAAAAATTAAAAACCACTTTTCTATCTCCTCCGCCTCTCCCTCCTCCTATCATCCTGCTGCTCCATTTATCCTACATTACGGCATGCACGCGTATCCAATGGATAAATTTTCTTTCGGAAACTCTTAAACAAAAACATGGTAATATGTGCATGCAAGGACAGAGCGCGTTAATTTTTACCCAAAAGCAGAAAGCACGAGGAGAACGCGGTCGTTAACAACTTGTTCACTTGAAGAGGGTTGCGTGGCTGGAGCATGTAGATGTGACTTTTTTCTCTCGTGTGGTTTGTGACATATGCAACAAAGAAAAGGGAAGACTAATTGTAATAACTAAGTTCACTGCACACACTCTGATGCCTGATATTCATGGTGATGTAAATTAAAAAATGCAAACAAATGGAAAGTAAAAAAGAGAAAAACACGGACAAGACACATACGTACACACGATGCAACAGCTAGTACATTTTTATACGTTCGATATTTGTTACTCTGACAACAAAGAAATGAAATAAAATTTAGAAAGAAAGGAAGAAAATGCGTCATAGAGAAATGGTGAACTGTGAACACGTGTGTGGAATGAATGCATTGTTCCGCGTTTTGAAGGTATATCAACAGACATGTTTGCAAATACCGTCTTATCAAATACTAAAATCCGGCTGTGTTTGTACCGAGTATAGGAAAAAAGTACGTAGCAGAATGTATCGGACCGGATTTGAAAGCATAATGAAGTGAGGCGAATCGAGCAAGAGGAATATGCTTTTGCTGGACCGATCGAGCAAAGAAATCATTAGTACGTGTACTCGTGTTCACCAAGATTTGATGCCATCGATGATTCTCGTGTCGAAAACGTATCGAGTGGAGATGAGAAATGCCGTTTTTGCATTTATAACAGATTAGATTAACTTTAGAGATCTAATTTAGCACTTCGTCATTTATATAATGTACAAAGAAACATGACATAGTCGATCAGGATTACAGAGTCTGTTAACGGATTTTAGTTATCTTTTAAATAATAAGTGCATTAAAAAAGAAAAGAAAAAAAGATGTATAATTTTGAAAGATCTTCATGAATTTTCAATATTTATTACTACAAAATCAAAATATCGCATTAACGTGATTAACTTTATCTGTGAGTAAATTAGACTCGCATACCGGGAAGTTGTTAAACTATATACGGAAAATATCAGTTATCGATAACGGGTTGACCTTATCTATAGTTATGTTCCATAAATATATTAGTAAATTTCAGAATACATTTTCACAAAGATACAATGTGTTGTGCTAATATTTAACTGAGACATTTTTGTTTATAGAACTAGATATTTTCCATTTATTTCATAAAAAATGTTGTTTATTAGTTGTAAATTAGTTATTCTAACAATTTATACAAAATGGAGGCAAAAATTATCGAAGAAATGATGTATTGCTAAATACGTATCGTTTTTGTTTAATACTATCGAATAAAGACACCTTTTAATGTATCTTTTTGTTAATATTATATGTATTTTGAATGTTGTATTGAAGATGTAGAATGTAATTTCTTTCAATTCGTTGCACAATTCGTCTTAATTTTTTAAAGGACAAATTTAAAATAAGAAAATAAATTCTACTTGTACATACATAAAAAAATATTTGTATGTGACTTAAGTACAGTAGGATATGCATTTTGTAGAATACTGTAATATACAGAGCAACGTTAAAAATAGATTTAGATTGTTCTTTATAAAAAGCCAAGCGAAAATTATACTTATGATACGTTTACAACTTTAGTATTGTAAAATGTCACCGAATTATTTTTTACTATATTGCAATTTTATCAATAATAAAATGTATAAAAAGTAATAATGTATACTACTAAGACTGACTTATTTTAAAATAGTATTTACAATTACAGTCATGTCATTACACCATTACACATATACAGTCACACATGTAAATAACACAAGTCACATATAGCTGTTATGCTGTTAAATCTTCATGAAATATGTTGTTTTCTTCCTTAAAAAATACTCAGAACATATACATATAAAAAAATAAAAAAGCTTACAAAACTAAAACAAAACTTGAATAAGTCTAGCAGTATAATACTTATCAACTAAAAAGACAGATTTTCAACTTCACTGTATCGCAAATCATTTTTACAAAAAGTTTTTGTACGTAAAGTCGGAGGAAAAACTGACGTTACGTAGTGATATTTTTATTTTTATTTAATTGCGGTGAGATCTGTGTTCCCTTTGAGCTACAATTTCGGCTATTGATAATCTCGTCTATGCTCTGTTTTAATTCCTCCATTTCTAAAATGTCCAATGGCAACGATGTCTGCGTTGCCATTTCTCGAGCATTGCCAGTCTGCGCTTCGGACTGCATTAGTCTTGTCAATTCGGGAGAACACGAGTTTAAACTAGATGCCAGATTTCCCATTCCAGCTTTTCTATATACCTCTTTTATTTCTGCGTCACTTTTCAACTTAATATCACTGGATTCTTGAAACAAGTGCTTTAAAATGGTTTCATCTTGGAGCAAATATTTACTCCTACGGCCGTCTCTGCTCCTCCTATCACTCTCGTGACCATAACTTTTTGAACTCTTGTTGCTAATTTTACTCTTGCTACGTTCATGAGGTTCTTCAGGATCTAACATTTTAGCTTCTTCTTCTGGTTGACTGTCATCACTGTCACTGTCTTGATCGTCCTTTTCCATATTTCCTCCTTCGATATCCACGTCTTTTCCTGATATTTCTTGATGCTGTTTCTCCTCACTACTTAAATTCTCATCACTGCCACTTTGCCCTGGAAATAGGAACGGAAGCAGCATCCCAGCATTCTTCCCATCGAATAGTTTAGGATTCAAAACGCGGTCATCCAAACCAGCGCTAGCCGATCGTCTCTTCATATTAGGCACTTGAATGGGCGGTACTTTTGAATTGCCACCTATAGTCAACGCCGATAATATCTGTGCACCGAGCTGACTTTCCTGTGATGTTGTACTGCCTCTTCTAAACAGCGGGCCTACTTTACCTGATCTAGATTTTCCGAAGTCTCGTCGTCGTTTCCCGCGTCGACCGCGTGAACTGCTAGCGACTTTCCGCGTTGTCTTCAATTCAGCTATTTGAACTGATATTTGTGAATCCAAAGAGTTTCTTCTAGATTCCACGGACACCCGACGTACGCTAAAGCTGATTTCAGAATCTACAGAATTTCTCCTGTTACTAGATACAGAGCCCGTTGTACCACCGACGAGTGCACCTCTACGAGTAACTAGTTTTGGCAAAGCAGCTGCCCACGTTGAACTGAAATCCTGAGAAGCTACAGAGTTTAGATCGAAGTTTAAACCGACTGGATCCTCGTGGGTGTTATGAAAGCTGATAGACAATCGGCCAGCGTTGTTGAATGTCTTCCGTTTTGCAAACGCTTGAGCAATTACTTTGTGTTTCTTCAGTCTAATAGGCTCTTCTGTTTCGCAGTTGAATGTTCTACAATAAAATAATTTTAATAGCTTAAAAGTTAAAAAAAGAATGAAAGCAATGTTATATACTACTATATAATACTACCGTCTAAGAAATCTGGTCCAAGTATCTACAGTTGAACCAGTCCACACCCATGAAGACATAAGAATACCAGCAAAAAATGGTGAAAGCAAATGTAATTGCATTTTAGCTGCACTCGGTCGTACTTCCATTTTACATTCCGAAATATCCAAATACTTTGTTGTTATTGCACATCTGTACGTGAAATATAAAATGTTACTAAACATCGTATATTATTACGTATTCTAATTTTTTATGTTTCGATTTTCTTACATCATGTAATTTCTAAAACTCTGACGCCATTCTTCAGAATGTTGAAATTCGTAAATGTGGCAATAAAAAGTCACCACAACTGCAGCGAATGTGAAAATCGAGAATAGTCCCGTGCGCACGATGGTCTCTCGTATTTTAGAACTTGCTCTTTCAGATATAATTTCTTGACTGCTTATTTTTAGTCGAATCAAAGTAATTAATCCTAAAAATATTAAAAATAACGTTAGTTAACTTGAAGTAAAAATATCATTTTTTAATAATTATTTTCACCAAGATACTTACTAGACTATGATCTTCATGAAAGCATACAAAGAAATACATTTTATTATATGAATAAAAAGTAAATAAAGTGAATAAAGATAAAGCTAAATAGAAAAATGATGTAGATTCAAAACATACCTCTGCATAAGAAATAACCTCCAACGAGTAAGACAATCAACACAGGGCCAAGCAAAAACCAAGCTCTGACTGCGTGATTAGTGTAACCCACAAAACATATACCAGTAACACTATTTCCATCAATTTCCCCTAATGCCATGATTGTAACAGTAAGGACAAGTGGTAAACACCAAGCAATTAAATGGAAGTATGAGCCCTTCTTGTCAATCCTGTCTTGGATTTTGCCTAATGCTTGAAAACTCATATGCCAGGCATATGTAAGGATCACAAACCATACCATAGCTGCCATAAGGGAGTAATACACAAGAACAAACACTACGACACATGACAAATTCTCTCCACTGAAAACATATTAGTACACAAAGTTTTTATATCTGACTAATACAAAAATTTTCAGCAAAATACGACATATGTAATTATGCAACAATTTATACAGTGAATAATTATAAACTACCTCGGCTCACTCATTCTTAAGGTTCCATCTTTCCTGCACACAATTACTTCTCTGCTTCCTGTAAACTGAACAAGCCATCCAATACAGGACATCATAAAGCAACAGTTTATGTAAAATACAACTAAAGCTGGATATTTATTTGCACTTCTCCAATCAATTAAAAATGTTATCTGAAATAACACATAAATTAGATACAATGTTATTTATTTTATATTCCTTTATCGTGACAATTATTACTTACAACTGTGAATAAATTGAATGAACCACAGATGCCTGCAGCCCAGGCAATAAAAGAATGAATTTGCTTATGCTCATCTGGTGTAAAAAGTGGATCATTGCACTGTGTTCCACAACCTTCAACTCCTTCAAAAATAGCAAGTGCATTATCAGTTGGAACTAATGGCTTTAGGCATTTACCAGAAATATTAAATTTCAATTCTCTAATATCATTTTTACATAGTCTGGGAAATAAATCTGTATTTTCACATTTAACAAAACTTGGCCATATTGTGTGATTGAACACGATTCTACACGGTCCTGAAACCATTTTACACATCTCTTGTGATGGTAAATCCACTGTGTCATTGATACATTTTGGCATAAATATTGAGCACAGAAAGGGTTGAACAACTGCCCAACACTTTGGCATATGTCTTAATGCTTGCAATACATGTAGTTTTTCCTGTAAAATAAGTATATAATAAGTACATTTAACAAAATGAAAAATAAAATATTAGTATAAAGAATATTTTAAACAATATAGAAATAAGGAAAAAGCATTGTAATATTTAGGAATGATATAGTTGAGGCAGGAAGTACCTGAGGTGATTTTAAATAGGATTTTTCTGACCTGAAATATCTGGTATAAAAAGAGAACAAAGAAAAGAGAAAGTAACTCTAGACTTGAAAGATTTGCCTCTTTTAAAAATCAAAAATTACATTTATAAATATATTCATATCTAAAAATACCTATGTGAATTATACTTCATGTGTAATATAATATACCTCTACAATATCTTGGGTTACATGTTCAGGTATAAGATCCAATGTAGTAGTGGTATATGACAATCTTGTACCCATACAAGTACTCCTTTGCATTTCTACACATTTTGCTGCTCTATGACAATTTAAAGAATCAGGTGGTAATTCTCTCATGGGGTACCTGTCCAGCAGATAAGTGGAATCCTTAATTCTGTGCCTAGGACTCAACTCTAAACCATGTTTCCATGTTTCATTATTACTATTCGAATTAGTGGGAAATCCGTGCGCCAGTTCCGACGACGCTCGATGTAAGATTAAAAAATAATAAATCAATAGGAGCGTCATCTGAAAAAAGATTAATTATCATGAAAAAAAAAATTAATATTATTAAAGAGAAAAAAAACAGTAATGTACTATATAGTGATAATTTGTTATGGACTTCCGTAATCGGTGCGCGATTCCCCGGCATGCTATCGGCTCAATTAAAAAGAAAATGTCACGTGTACTGCACCAGAGATAAACAACAAAAGTATTCCATGAATAAAAATAGTACCTTCGGACGCATCACTTAAAACTACACGCCAATTATTTTCTGAACGACTATACAGTGCCACGGAGAAGGCTCTCCGTTTCGTTCGGACAAAGCGTCTTGCATCTTCTACGCTCGCGACAGTCGCATCCAGCATACGAACGCTCGGACCACACACACGTTCCGTTCGCTTCCAGGCCACCCACGACGAACCCGATGAACTTGCTCATACCCATACCTCTTTCCGGTGTTTGAATGCACGGGGCTGTAAATAACTTCGCGAATACCTCACCAGTGGCAGCATCGTAGAATGTGCAGTATTATTTGCGCATCGAACGCGGGAAATTTTATAAACAACTCATTCCATGAATAAAATATTAATAATACGTGATATTTTTTTAGCAATTATTGTAATTTGTAATAAATTCATTCTTTTAAATACAGAAGTAATACATGTATCTGTATTTACAATAAAATGAGATAAATAAATCACTCATTGGTTCAATCAATCATTAGGTTTTATGTGACAATAATAACACTTGACGTGCTTTTTAAAGAAAACATAAATGAACTTATTACAACTATTACATATACATATTATTATATATATACATTATTACATGTATTACAACCTATGTATATCATCTTGTCGACTTTGACCAATAATTTAAAATTAATTTCAATATTACGCTATATAAATAGTAATTTCATAAACCTTAAATTAAAAAATATATTCTGTTGAAATTAAGTTTAATTACTAATGTGAAATGATATTTTTTTACAGAAACCTTTCCTAAAAATTTTTATTCTGACATCTAATTATTATTCAATAAGCCAGACAATAAGACTCGCAAGCCGCTTCATTTACATAATCAATATAGGTAATACGGAGTGCCGTTTTTCAATAAAATGAACGATGAAACATGTACATCGATAAATGTAACAAAAATACAGTATAACGAATACGCGATACATGCGTAATTTCGCAAATTACTCCAGGGTTAATTTGTCTGTCAATTATTATTTTTACTGGTGTCGACCTCTGCAAAACATTTCTATTAAGCACAGGTGTTACAGCATGTGAATTGACAAAGGATAATAGCGTGCAAAGTACTTTCGGTAATGGTTTATTTTGATAAATATGATAAATTCATGATGTTAATTAACAATAATATACATTTTAGACTGATAACGTGCTATTAGGTGAAACGTCGGTTTTCTTCACTTGGCCTTTCCTTATTCCGGTGTAACAGGAAATATGATAAATTCCCCTATAGTTGATTAGCTGTTGGTGCTGATAATAACATGCTGTTAATATATGATAAGCCTGGGCCATATATGTCTATACTCAAGTTGGAATTAATACCAGCGGAACATAATACTACACGATCTCTCGACAGTCTGCGACCAGTATTAGATAGTAAAGCAATCCTTAAGGTGACAGATGTGTCGTAGAATAACCTGAAAAATAATTTCGATCATACCAACTTTTATTGATAATTTTGAAGTGTACGAATAAGAAGGTAAAATATTTTTTTTATGTAAAAATGAACATAAATAATTTTACAATAAGATTTTAAATAAGATATTTTATATTGGAATTTTTTTGTAGTTGAAGATGTTTAAGATCCTTTATTTAGGATTATATTTATTGCTATTTGGAAATTGCATTGGTGATTATCCAGATAGGGACACAAAATGGCAAATGTTATGCCCAGGTTTATATCCGAGAGCTTTTACAAGTTACACACCTCGTGGAAATCTATCTAGTGGAATATATACTACCCAGCCTTTAAATACCATGAAACACTGTGTCGCTGCATGCTGCACCGAAACTACATGCAATGTGGCACTTATGCATAATGGTACCTGCTATCATGTGCAGTGTAAAAGTTCCAAATTATGTATACCTTTATATAGGAAGGATTTGGCAAATGAAAATCCTCCAAGCATGGTTCTAGTTAAACCTGTAGAAGAAGATGAAATGTGGAGTGATTTGTTGGATCAAATAAATGATGATACTGGGTAAGATTTCAATTTCATATATAATATTTTATTATAACTTCGTTTAATTAATAATTATTCTAATTGATTTCTAGAGGGTTTCTCATGGATGGTACAGAAGGAGATCATATTCTTTTTGGTGGGTCAAATGGGATAAGTTGCATCACTCAATCGAATTGTTTAGAGCATGAAATCTGTGTTAAGTCTGGGGACAAGTCTGATATTGGAATTTGTCAATGTTCTACTGGATTTAAGCATAATAGTGCAGGTAATTATATCATTTAAGCGGTCATTAGAAAGATATTCAATGTGTTTTAATTTATTGAGAATTTTTAAATTTGTATTAATTGTGCTAGGAATTTGCACTTTGGTGGAAGACATAGAACTTGGTGTAACACCTCAAGGAAAACCACAAAGTATAAAAGATTCTGGAACATCCATGAAGCCACCAGTAAAACGATTACTGGTTTCTGCAGTTTCAAAAGAAGTACGCCTACCAGAGAATGAAGTAACATTATCTGCATATACTGTGCCAGCAGAACAAGGAAATGAACATTACAATTATGCTTGGAGTCTTCTAAGTCAACCGGATGGCCACACTGGCACAATGTCTGATCAGAACTGTATGACTGTTAAATTAAGTAATTTATCTGAGGGTTTATATACTTTTAAAGTAACAGTAAATGGTCCAAATACCTATGGAGAAACATACGCAAATGTTAGCGTTTTACCACGTAAGTTTTCTTATTATGCTTATATTTCCTTTGGTTATTATAATTTATTGATTTAATATTATTTGCAGCCAAGAGAATAAATCAAGCACCAGTTGCTATAATTTCACCTGCGTCGCAGGTTGTAAAATTACCGAATACGGGAGCTGTGTTAGATGGTTCGTCGAGTAAAGATGACGATCGTGTTATTTCTTATCATTGGGAATTGCAACGAGGTCCTATTGGATATCATCCTAATCTAATTGATACACCTACTTTACAATTAGATAATCTTATCCCTGGCAACTACACTTTTAAGTCAGTACTAATATTATAAACTGTTTATTTATAAAAAATTTAATAATTGTTTAATATTTCAAATCTTTTATTTTTTTAGGTTAACAGTAGAAGATTCCAATCATATCACTAATTCTACAAGTGCTAATATAACAGTTTTGAAAGTAATTGATTATCCTCCTAGTGCTAATGCTGGTCAAGACATTATTATATATTTACCTCAGAACACATTGACACTCAATGGTAACTTAAGTACAGATGATCATGGAATAGCAAGTTGGGAATGGACAAAAAGTCCTTCGGATCAAAACAAGGCAGTAGATATGCAGAATACAAGAACACCGTATTTACAACTGTCTAATTTGGAGGAAGGAATGTATACATTTGTACTAAAAGTAACAGACGATTCAGAACAATTTTCTACAGCTGAGGTTCATGTGTTTGTGAAACCACCAACCAATAAACCGCCGAAAGGTAATTACATGATTTTAATTATTCTTATATTTCTATCGAAAAAATCTAAGTATTATTTTATTTTACATAATTTGAAATAGCTGATGCCGGCGAACTTATAACTATAGCGTTACCCGAAACAAAAACTGTACTTGATGGTCGGAAAAGTAAAGATGATATTAAGATTGTATCTTACCATTGGGAGCAAATGAGGTAAATTTAAGTTCATATATTAAGTTCATATATTTAATTGATTATATCTCGTAATATTATAATGCAGTATTAAATTTGATTTAACAGTGGACCTAGTAATGCTGTATTTTCGGCAGTGAATGAATCAGTTACGAATATTACAAAATTAACGAAGGGTGATTATGAGTTTAAGTTAACTGTAATTGACGATAATGGAAATAAAGATTCGGACACCGTTAAAGTAAAAGTTACACAAAGTAAATAGAATTTTATCCTACACTCTATTAACTAGTATTTGTAATTACTTGATTATTAAAATTAACTTTATTACATAGATAAAAATGCTGCCCCGAAAGCAAACGCAGGTGGAGATCAGGTTGTTGTAGCCCCGATTAGCGCACTAATTATTAATGGATCTCAATCAACTGACGACCTAAGAATTAGTGAATGGATGTGGTCGAGGGATCCGTCTAGTCTTGCTATAGGCACTATAGTTCAGAATTCTGATAAATCGCCAATCTTAATGGTAATAATATTTAACAGTATCATAAGTAAACAATTTTTTATTCATAACAGAGTATTTTTAAATTTTATTTATAGTTGACAGATATTGTGCCAGGAAGATACCTTTTTAGATTAAAAGTAATAGATGACCAAGGTCTTAGTAGCGAGGACACTGTATCCGTGATAGTAAAACCCGGTAAATATTACAGAAGAAAAGAAATAATACTGTAATAAAGCTTTAAATAATGTATATATATTCTTTATAGACCCACAATTATTGCATTTAGTTGAATTAACATTGAACATCGAAGCAAATTTATTAACAGTGTCGCAAAAAAATTCTTTGGTATTAAAATTACAAATGTTACTACGGGATGAAGCATCTATTGTTGTCCGAAATTTAAGAGCAGAGCCACATACAGGCAGAGCTGTCTTAATTTTCTATGTAGAGAAAAAAGGAGGAAAAGTCGCTATGTACGGGCCAGAAGTAGTTAAACGATTGAAAGAAAAATTAAGACAAGATTCAGGCATTCTTCACTTGTCTGTTGCAAACATTGATACTGCTGTGTGTCAAAATAATTGTTCGGGTAAGTATCTTTTATTAAATATCATTACGTTATAAATAATTTTGTTGTACGAAATTTGTTTTTAAATAGGCCATGGAGTATGTGATCAAGAAACAAGATTATGTATGTGTGAAGCATTTTGGATGCAAAATTTAATACAGAAATACTTTGGCAATGGCGATTCCAATTGTGGTATGTTAAAATAAATACGAAAAGTAAATTTTAATATGAAAATGAATTAAGTTGACTTGAAGTCATACTTTTTTTCAGATTGGAGTATTCTCTATGTAATAATAGCATTATTGTCTCTAGTCGTATGTTGGGTTGGCCTCATTTGGGGTCTTGTTTGTCTGTGTCAAAGAATATGTACAGGTAAACGACGTTCACTTGGTACTAAGAAAAAACCACCGCGTTATTCTCTTCTACAACCGGAACCGGAGGACGACAGCAGCACATGTACGGCATCTTTCCTTTTATATGAATTTAGAAATAATATTACGTCATGACTCTTTATATTTATTTTTATAGTTTCAACACATAAAATGGTGTTATCTGAATCAGACACGGACTCCGATGATGTCTTATTCGAACATCGTAAAGCGAAAAATAGCAGTCAAGTAAGAAACGGTAAATCTCGAAATGGCTTTATTAAAGTGGGCTCTAGAGTGAAAACATGAGGTAATAGTCACACCTGTTAGGGTTTTAATGAATCGCGGATTAAGTAAGCCATAATTTCAGGAATTTGTTTCAGGAATGTATAGAATTTAAGATTTCGTTAAACGACGCACATTTGTGTACGTTTGGCCAAAAAAAAACTAAGAAAACCATCAATTTTACTAGTCAGTTACAAGGCTGTAATTTTAAGTATGTATCTAGCAAGGATATGATTTCTCAGAAGTTGCCACTTCTAAAAAGAATTTGACGAAACTAGATGTACTTAATTAAGTACTGATTAGAGACAAGAAAATACACGCGCTCACTGTATCGTATCTTGTTTGATTTATTCGAAATAACACATATATTTATTGATATTGTGTACACATATTTGAAACTTTTATTATATAATTATAGTTGTGCCGCCGTATATACGCGTGCGGTATTATAGCACAATTCAAAGATCAAACTTGATTTGATTACGGCCTTAGAAAGTATTGGAATTAGTATTTATATATAATGATCGTTTCTTATTCATATATCTCTTGTATGTAATACTTGCTCTTTAATACGTATATCATCGATCTTATTTTTACACTGTATATGGATAAATAATAAAATTTATTATCCATATAGTTAATATGGTATTTAATTTCCCTTAACATATATTTTAAGCGAATATAGTTTTCGAAGTTAAATAGAAATAGTAATTATTTCTTATAGCACGTGTTACAATCATAAAACAATATAAGTAACAGGAATCATAAAATGATTTTAAATTTAGTATAAAGCATTCTAAAGCACCCACATTTTCGTTTCGCATGCGTTCGCTTTAACGTTATTTATAACTCATTACGCTATGGCAAGCACGAAGTAGTGCAAAAGATATCCACCGACGAATTTCTGTATATGTTACGTTTCTTCATAAATCAGTAAGTCCTTTTTAATCTTTTTTAGATTAAATAATTTACGTAATTTTAATTATATCAATAAATAAATTAGCGTGATAATTTAATGGTGTCTATGGATTTTATCAACTGTTCGAAATATCGATCTATAAAGAGTTGCTGCAGTGAAAAGTCATTGATGGACGATGAAAATAAGAACAATGAATTTCGTAATAAAGATTGCATATTCCTTGAACGAAAAAATAAAATCGAAGATGGATATTCCACTGTTAACGTGGAGCCATTACGTTTCGTTAAAAACGTACGGTAAGTGCTACTTTTAATTTTTATGTATATTGACATAAAATGCAAATTCTTTTCTTATATATTTTAGTAAACATTAAAAATTTAATTCATTGTTAAGAATCTAAAGACAGAAATGACGTTTGTATTGTCTAGTTCATATACACGCTAGAGATTTTGAAACAAATAAAGCAACAAGTTCATTAAAAAATTAAAAAAAGAATCTTGTACCATAAAAAAAGTTACATAATTTTTTTTCATTTAACTATGATAAATGCCCAATCCATCTTTATCATGGAAGACCAAATTCTGTATATCAATTTTTTGAGTTACCTTCTAGCATGAAAGACCAAATAAATGGAGATATACAAGAGGAAGGTTTCTCTTCCTTTAATATGCAGGAAGACAAAGATTTTCGATGTCCTAGATGTGGCCAAAGCATGCAAGAACCTAGATTACTTCCTTGCTTGCATCCTATATGTTCAACATGTATTTCAGAATTAATGAGTAAACGTAAGTGGTATAGAATTAAAAATTTAATGTACCTTTTCAAAAACAGAGATCTTATTATGCTCTCTTTTACATCCACAGCATTTTATAATTTTACAAAAAGTATTAAAACTGAAAACAATAAATCGGAAAGCAGCCAAAATAATTATTACGAAATTTGCCCTTTATGTGATGTTCAATTACCAAATGCTAATTCAACAGTTCCACCTCCGCATTATCCTCTTCAGTATCGTCTGGTAATGAGTGCTATCCGCTCTAAATTTACAAACAAAATACTTTGTGATATTTGTCCAGATGAAGTTGTTGTAAGCATTATGTCAAATTAAAATAAATTTACATCTTAAAGATATTTAAAAATGTTATACTTTTAATATTTAATATTTTTAAAGGCAGTTGTTCAGTGTTCCACGTGTCTCCGCAATTTTTGCTTAGATTGTGGTATGAAGCATCAACAACAAATTACATTGGAATTAAAACCATTAAAACATTCGATAAGACCGCTAATGGAAGCTACAAAAGTACGACGTACTGCACTTTGCCAGCAACATCCTACACATGCTTTGCGTTTTTATTGTATTGCTTGTCAACAGGTTCATAATTTGCTATTTTAATTATATATATATTTTTCTATTTAACAAATAGTATTTTTTATGTATATGAGATATTTTTTAGGTAACCTGTAAAGAATGTATGTGGAGTAGTCAACACAGAGGTCATGCAAGTGAAAATGCTGCTGGAGTTGCAAAACGAGTTATTTTATATTTAACGAAAATGTTGCAAAGAGCAAAAATTCTTTTAAACATGCTCCTAACACAGTACGATCGAGATGCATTTTTAAATAGCTCTTTTGAGGAAATAAAGGATACCAGCATTTCAGTTGATTATAGGTATGTTAAACTGATAATTTTTTAAATCAATTATTTGTCAGATAATATTACAATTATAAGAAATATATATACACATATAAAAAAAATTAGGGATATGCTAAGACAAAAGGTATATTATAAGAGAAACATATGTAAGTAAATATGCATACATATATTACTTACATACATGTATCTGAATTGTCATGTGATGATTATTACTATAGATCTTAAGGTTTAATTAAGAATATTTTGTGACTGTCATTTGAGGTAAAAACTTATGCATTGCTATAGGATACAAAAAACTGTGATAAAAAATAACTGTTACTATACAAGTAATTAAAAAAAATAAAACATTCCATTATATAATTTTATGCTATTATCTGTATATAATAAATGTTTATATTTGTAAAAGTAATAAAACATATTCATGAAAAAATAAAATTTATTTCAAACCACTACCATTAAAACAGCAGTTGATGTATACTTTTTTGAAAAGAGAGGCAACATCCATAACGTAGGATTGATCCACAGCAAGACCAATGATATACCCCAGGATGTCCAATATGACCATGGCCACAACCTTTATATCCACCTTTAATTACATGATATATTCTATATTGTAATAAATAATGGTGTATAATAAAATTATTTAGAGAATTTATATATTACCAGGTATAATTCCTCCGCAGCCACAAGTGGCTTCTTTCTTACCCCCACTTGAACAGAAAGTACAACAGTGATAAATACCAGTATGAAGAGGTTTGAATATAGACGTCCTTGTATTTTGATTGGAATTTTCTGTAAAAATTTGTATTTATTAAAAAAAAAACATAGCAGAAGATCATGATGTTTACATGAATATATTCTTTACCTAATGATATGTTAGATACACCCAAAACTTTAAATCTTTTTATTATTGTATTAGCAAGACTCAATATTTCTACATTTGAACCATCTGCAAGTAATTCATTTGTAAGAGAAATAGCATCAAGAAGTTGTCTGGCTCGTTTTAATCTATTAAATTCTTGAATTCTTTCCTGTGCCTGTCTAGAATGCGATGTTGTTGTATCACAATTCTTGAGCTTTGATCCATCGTATAAAGCCTCATTGAAACATCTGATTAAATTAGATAATTATCATTACTTATATTCTAAATTAAATGTGATTATAAACAGTATTATCTTAAATTTTTTAATATGAACAATAATATTATATTATAAATAGGATCTTCATTATTTGTGTTACAAAGATTATATAATTGTCATGTGATGTACATTCGACAAGATTCCTTATTTACTTAAAATAATGTACCATTAATAATTTTGTATTTCACTGTCATTTGAGGTTTAAGTATGTTTCTTTAATGAAATATATTTTAATAAATTTTCTAATTATCTTCTTACCTAATTATATAGTCTTTAATTGTATACTACTATTATTTCCATAAACAATGTTGTACTTATTTTTAATTTTAATTTACATTATTATAACGTTTTGTAATATATGTAGTTATACATGTGGACATCGGAACAAATTCATATTTATTATTGTTACATATAGCCTTCTAGAAAATACTTAATGTATTCATCCTTTTGATGTTAGGTTAGAGAAACATTTTTTGAAAAATATATTGGAGCCATGATTATTTGAAATAAAATATTAATTTTTTCATATCTACATATATGAATTATCACATAATTCGATGCATTATTTCATGTACATTCAAAAATATAAATATGCTTTTCACAAGAAACTTATGTATAAACACGCAATAATACATTTTAGCTGCCATTGCTTAAACCAGTTTAAACTTAAACCAATAACACAATGGTAACTATATATATATAATTTTTGCAAACCAAAACTTACTACCAAAAAAAATTGTACCAAATATAAGCAAATATGAGTAATATAATATAAAATAAATTAACAATTTTTTGTTCTAATCAATAAAATATACATATTATATTAGTATTATAGTAATGCCACTTATTAAACATAATTTTTGTTAATTTATTTACATACATGAAATGAAAGTTAAATAAAACGCAAATTCATAAAATAATTGTAATCTTACAATTAATTTTCAAAATTTTTAATTATTTTTCATCCTATTTTATTGAATTCACATTAAATACCCAAGCATATTGAAATATCCTGCTTTATTATATTTGTATGCAATTATTGTAAAATAATTCTAAGCTAGAAAAATTGTAGCTGTGTCTGTTATTAAAGAAATCATAACTTACAATATTAATTTCGGAATCAATTGTATTAAATGTAATTCAACTATTGTTAAAAAGAAGAACTGTTATACAGTACAATCAAGTGCAACACCTAGAAAATCTTCAAATCCAATATTGATTACCCCTTCTTGCTCAGTATCCCTTACTCGGAAAGCATCTGTAAAAAGTAGTTAAAAATGAAATTTATTTATACAATTTATACTTTTCAATATTTTTATTATTTTTAATGATTTTAACATATTTTTATTTGTTATATGTATATATTTACCTGTAAATTTTTGAATTTGTACACATAATACAATAAATTGATCAACTGTGATACTAGAATGGCCCTTAGGATCACTTTTCTTTATAAGAAATGATATAAACTCTGGACTTAATCTATATCCCATCTGTGTTAATGCTGCACTTAATTCATTTTCTTGTATACTTCCAGAATTATCATGATCAAAACTACGAAAAACACCTAACCATGCATTAATATAGTTATAAAGAGCTTGAAACTCATACAAATCTATTGTACCATTCTTTTCTTTATCAAACATTCCTATAAATGGAGAATAAAATGTTTTAGATATTATGAAATTTATCGATAAATTAGAATATTAAATTATAAGAATATACCTATCATAAGTCGGCAAGCAGTATCTGAAAATGTACCCCCTTGTCCATTTGCTAAAGCAGATTGTAATTCTATAGCCGTGATTTTTCCACTGTTATCTCTATCAACAGCAGCAAACCACTGCTGTACTTCTGGACTTACTTGTGTTTCAGGATTTGTTGCTCCAAACATTGAATTCTAAAAATGTATAACATTCACTTTGAAACAATAAAATATAAACAAGTGATGAATAAGTAAAACATAACATAAGTATTATCATAAATATTGTAATGTTTTATAAATAGTTATAATAAACATGCAGAATACATTATTATATATTTTAAAGTGATAAAAGGTATTTTAATTTATTGATAAAGTATTTCTATCTGAATTGTAGGAAATAATTACCGGATAGGCCATAATTGACGTGTTCTGTCAGCTGTCAAATAGTATTAATTACAGCGTGTATTCAATTGTTGTACTGATGCAACACAAGTGAAGTACACAATACATATATGGAATAATTACATATATGTATGTATATATATTGCATATATAGTTAATTAGTCATTCATACAATTAGAGATTTAATGTGTACCTAATTTTTCAATTGTATGAAATGTTACTTCCTCATTTATACTTCACGAAGAAAAGAATATATTTTATTTCACATTTTATTATAAAAACGTTAATGATATCTATATTTTTATAAGCGCTAACACTGACGGTGCCATCTTACGAATTGTTTTGCATTTAAAACGACAGTATATATACATAGAGGGTAGGGTGGTTTGTAGTATTCGCCTTTGCTTGATTTTCTGACAGGGGTATTAAAAAGGGAAAGAACAGCTGTTGGACATTATTTTCATCTTTATTAAGATATTGTTGATCTCGCCATGGATGACTTACAAAATTATAAGTTACAGCTTCAACAGGTACGGTTTTTGTTTTTTGTTTAACCTAACAAGAACGATGGGTTGGCGAGTCCATTTTTGGCGATTCCTTCCTTGTTTACGACACTAGACGTTTAATGAATTTTGTGTTTTACCGTTTTAGGTGGAAGCGGCGCTTACCACGGACCCTACTAATGAAGAACTCTTGAAACTGAAAATTGATCTCGAGGAAGTAATAGAGCTGACACATGATTTAATTAAATCACAACAGCAGGAAAAAAGGCAAGCCAATGGCATGGATGCTAAAGATCCTATTTTACTTGCAGTTTTGGCCAATAAGTGGAAGATTGGTGATCAATGCATGGCACCCTGGAGCGAGGATGGCAAGTAAGTAATCTCATATATCTTTTTGATAAATTAGCAGTTATCTACAGTGGCTTTATGAATGTAATTTAAAGAATGTAACATAGATAAAAATTTGTTTTACCTATTAAATGTCATAACTATACTGTACACTTGTCTGCAATTATAGAAAATTTGGAAGTATAGAATTGCACAGAATGCATATAAGGTGCGAAAGTATATAAAATATCCAAAATATAGTGCTTCTTATAATATTTGATAAGTAAAACAATTTTGCACAAAGGTTCTACCTTTTAAATATATTCTAAAATATATAAAATAGTATAAAAATTTGTAATTCAATCATAAAAAATACCACACTTTAGGTATTTCATATATTTGTATGTATCATATGTATTCTGTACATTTTTGCTCCAAATTTCTCATAAATGCATACAAATCTATAGTAGCAATAAGATACAACAATCATGATTATATTGGTAAAATTTGAAACCAATCTGAAAATGTGTATACAATATCTTTTATTATTTCATTTACTTTTTTTAGATACTATGAGGCAACCATAGATGCAATAAGTGAAGATGGTGTTGTCAATATAACATTTAACGAATATAAAAACACAGATGTCACAATGCTTAGTCAATTAAAATCTGTAGCTAAAAGGCCAGCGTCAGATTGGGCAGATCAAAAGTCAAAGTGAGTTAACAATTATTTATTAACTTTATTTATTCATTATTAACATGATCTTCCCTTTACAATTTTGAGCACATATCAGCTTTTTTAAAGAACATTGTGGGATAAGTTTTACAAGAAATTATGATTACTAATAGCTCATTTTTCTCCTTATTCCTTTATCCCCAATTGGCTACAATATTCACTCCACTGTTTGGTCTGCTTCGATCTGAAATTCCGTTATTGTTCATTTGTCTTTTGGTGTCGCACTGTTCGTGTACATCGCCGGAACCCAGGAAAAGGTAACAAGAAATAACAGATTTTTGTTGGAATATTTTTTTATTTTTCTTACATACACATACACACACATACAAAAATACTATTACACATGATATTAAATAGTATATTAGTTTGATTCTGAGTATAATAATAATGTTTTTAGGACAAAGTAATAAAGAGTTTTATAACAGCGAAGTTTAAGATAATATGTAATATTAATAATTGTAAGTAAAGTTTTAGCTGTATTTACATTAATTTGCATTAATCAGTTTCTAGGTGAATTAAAATTATTTCTATTTTATCATTATTCTTATAGAGATGGAACGATTTATTAGACTTTATATTTCATGAAGCAGTAGTAACCACTTATTTTTTTTACATATAATTCATTTTACAATAATCAATATTGCTAGAATTCATTACAGAATTCATTATTCATATTTTCTATTTTTAGCCAGAAATGTTATATGGAAACATCATGATAGATTTATTCACGAATGATAAGTTTATTCATTTTCAGAAAAATGCAAGCTGCTGCAGTAGCAGGTTCAGATCCTAACAAACAAAGAGAATATCTGAAAAAAAAGAAACAAAGGAAACTTCAGCGATTTAAGGAACTTGAAGAAGAGCGCGAAATGGAGAAAAACAAATGGCTAGCATTTACAAATAAGGTACTTTTCATTTTTCAAATTGTTATCAAATTTCTTAATTATTAATTATTAATATACTATGTTTTTTAACACAGTCTTCTAAGAAAGGTGTGATTAAAAAGAGTATATTTGCAACGCCAGAAAATGTAAATGGTCGAGTTGGAATCGGCACGTGTGGGGTAAGTGGTCGAGAAATGACTAAGTTCAGTAATGGTGAAAAATGGAGAAGAGGAGCATGAATACTATTGTAAATATGCAATTTATAATAATTCGTGAGATAGAACTATTGATTATTGTTATTATTCCGATAAATTTAAATTTCGAGGAAACTGAACAATTGTATGTTTTGTGTTATGAGAATGTTTCCGAGTGTGTGAATTGAAGAGAGTGTTTAGCGATATTTGTAGATTGTGCGTAGTCATTATATTATGAACGGATAATGACCTCAAATAAATCCGGGAAGTATTTGGATTTTCTACCTTTATGAAGTGAATGGTTGTCGTGAATGAATGTGTTTCTAGATTAATACATTTATGTGAGTATGATATTGTTTGTAACCTGTAATGGATATGAATAAATGTATATTTTAAAGTCAGACTATGCAATAATGTCCAAAATGTTTTATTAAACCCATTAACAGAACAAGATTATTTTACTTATATGATTAACTTTTATTTATATGGAATTTTATATTCGTTACCTTATTGTTAAATAAATGACTCTGTATTCTAAAAAGAGTGATATACATATTTATTTAAATATGAATATTCGATCTAGTAGCGTCAGCGTCATAGTGCGTTATAGAGATGAACTAATCACTATGGTATATATTTATAGTTGATACCGTTAGAAAGGTAAAAAATGGTCGTTTTATCGTGGAACAACACGTCACCAGTATATATTGGTGATATATTTGAAGAGACAAAACTAACATAAGAGGTTGATAAATTTGAAAAGATGAATGTATTAAATTACTACGTTATTGTGAAGGCCTATGATAACTATCGTTTTGTTTAAAGCTCCTAAATCGAGCTCTAACCTATTTTAATAAAAATCGTCAATAAACACTAAGTACATTTGACGTTTCCGTTATGATAATAAAATAATTCGATGTTTATATTATTCAAGTTAAATCGGTTGTTAAAAATCGTCCTTTCAAGGCATTAAATAAAATGTATTTTAACAAATAACGTAGACATGATTCTTAGGGAAAAACTTTTTATGTGCTTATCAGTTTATTATCTAAAATCTTCAGAAAATCGGAATTGATTGAAGGCAAGAAGACTGATTCAACTGTTAAACATAAGTAATTGTTATATAAAATAAATATTTTATTTGTATAAAAGAAGATATGGAGTCAAACGAAAGAAATCAATTGTCAAATGGAGATACTGCAAATAATAGTGATATCGATTGGTCTAGATATGGATTGCATAATAATGCAGAGTCTCAAAGAAATAATGAAGCACAAAGACATAATAGAGAATATGAAGAACTTGGTCCTGAAATGTATCAAACCGGAGCAAATGAATTGTTTGCTCAAGAATATGTAAGTGGTTAAGATAAGAGTATTTATCATTATATTCTTAAACTTCCTGCCTTTCAGAGTGCTGATCCTTGGTGGAAATCAAACTTTTTCATTTCTCAACCTGTATTATTTGGAACTTGGGATGGGGTTTTTACGTCTTGTCTAATTAATATTTTTGGAGTTATTGTCTTTTTAAGATCTGGGTGGATAGTAGGCCAAGCTGGTGTTCTTAATGCTGTTTTAATAATTTTGTGTACAGGTAATAACAATTGTATTTATATATATCAGTAATGATTAGATTTGAACATTTGAAGAATTTTAATATTTCATCATTATTTTAGTATGTATCGCATTAGTGACTGTATTGTCTGCTGTGGGAATATGTGAAAGATGTCGCGTAGAGAGTGGTGGAGTTTACTTTTTACTATCACATGTGTTAGGATCAAGATTTGGTGGATCTATTGGATTACTATATTGTTTTGGACAGGTGGGACAATTTGTATAATAATAATATTTAGAACATTACTTTAAAACCTTTTGTAGGCGGTGGGCTGTGCTCTAAATGTTCTAGGGTTTGGAGAATCTATGGCTGGTCTTGTGGGTTTAGAATCTACATGGGCAGAACGTGGTTTTGCTTGTACTGCTGTTATCTTGTTATCTGTTATTAATATTGCTGGTGTCAAGTGGGTCATAAAACTCCAATTTATTCTATTATTAATTCTATTGCTTGCTGGTGTAGACTTTATGGTTGGAAGTTTTACTCATGTGAATGTTGGTAAGAGCAATAGTCTATAGTTCATGATATTTTTATTGTTCTGACAAGTGTATAATTTTGTATATATGTTGTATGTATATATTATAGAGGCAGGTTTTGAAGGATGGTTATCAGGAAATTTAAAAAATAATACTTTTACCAACTATCAAGATGGATATAATTGGTTTACAGTTTTTGGTGTGTTCTTTCCCACAGTAACTGGCGTTTTAGCTGGTATTAATATGAGTGGAGATTTAAAACATCCATCTACCGATATTCCTAATGGAACATTGGCAGCTGTAGGGACTGGGTAAAAATCATAATTCAAAATTAAGTGTGTCATACTCATTGCAAGAACTTAATCATAATTGTGTATTTAATTTCAGAACCTTTTTGTATTTATGTTTCTCATTATTTCTCGCGGCAACTTGTACTCGAAAGGCACTACTTACGAACTTTATGATTGCATCAACAGTATCAGCGATTTCAGTATTGCTACTGGCAGGTCTTTATGTGTCATCATTTAGCAGTTGTTTGGGTGCAATGTATGGTACACCTCGAGTTCTTCAATCTATCGCTAGTCAAAACGTAATACCAGGAATC